CACGATTGACTAGCTTCTGAATCAAAGCGTTCTCCCAGGGAACAGGAGAGCCAGGTTTAATTCCACCCGGGCTGCTGGCATTTCCACCTCTCCTGCTGAAGCTGTTTCACTGTGTAATGAATTCAGAGAAAGGGGACTCAACCCTGCCCTGGCAACCAAGCGCCACTAACACTGGAGCTGCAAGTCCCCTTCCAAGGGCTGGTTGCTTTTTCACATGTAGGACTACTAGTGCTGACAGTTGCAACTGCAATGCATGTCTTCCCTTCCTGAATGGTCCCTCTTCCACCCTTTCGCTGGCCCAAAAAAATCCTGAATGAAGTCACCTTCAGCAGCAGCTGCAGTGAACACTCCTCTGGGCAAATCAGCACACGGCTCAGAGTATCCTCCTGGGAGGGCTGAGTTCGAAACCTGGCTGTCTCAGCAGCCTAGAGCACTCCAGCCACTCGGCTGTTACAGAAGTACTCATCGTCACATCCTCCTCCAAGTAAACTTTTTTTCTGGCTGTCTCCTGGTGATGATAAAGAATTCCGATCTGTTCTTTTGACAGAGAGACTACTGAAGGTTGTCTGAAGTGCGCAGCATGGAAATCCCCTGCTCCCAGACTCCCCCAGTCAAAGCTCCAACGATACAGAGGGTCTGAAACTCACCTGTATTCAGTATTTGCCTTTCTGCATGTTTTTTGACGTCTGAAACACCATTTCAGATCACCAGTACCTCAGTGCTCAGTGCTCTTCTGCTCTGTATCCCATACTGAGGTACCCAACTTTCTGCATAGGAAATAGGCACCTGGTCTACCTCTGCTTCAGAGTCCTTTTGAGCAACTCCATGTTCAAGGGCTCTTCTCCTTATGGGGACCCTGCCCAAAACTACTAGAAATGTAAACTTCCTCAAAGAAAGGCTGTATAATGCATGTAGAGTGCTCCAAACTACACAGATACTGAGCTTGACTGAGACATCACTAATACTGGAGGAACTCAAAGCTCAGCATATCTAAGCTGACAAGGCAAGTCAGCAGCAGATCCCCTCATAGTGTTTTGCTCTAACTTTTCTATTTCCAGGGAAGCAACCAACATTTAAACAGCTCAAATGTTCTATCCCTGATTGTTCGAAGGCAAAAAACTCATCCCATGATTTCATAAAGCATGTCTAGCACAAGACAAGCAGATGTTACAATGAATAGTTCACAGAGAGGCATATAGCACTGAACTGGTGTAATGTAGCTTCAGTAAAGCCCTACTCACCCCTTCACAAGAGGGAATTTCAAGGATTTACTTCTACAAGACTTAATGAAAACTACTTTCTGGCATCACTATTATTTATTTGCCTGCAGAATGCCTTAGAGGTAACCTAATTCTGTCAATTGTTTGCTGAAGTTTCAGCATGGGTTTACACAGGACAATTTAGAAACCAGTTGATCAGAAGCCCAAGGAAAGTAACTTATAAATGTCTGGAGTATTGATATTATTTAAATCACTACAATGGCACCTTTAAACCATGAAACTTTCTGTGCAGACTAAACAGAAGATGGGCTGTAGGTAGGCAAGAGTCTTCTACCAATTTCTTTCCCAACACCATTTCTACGGATCCAGCAGCACAGAATGATCGTAACAGACTTCAAAGACACTGTAACCCCTCGTCTTGCAACAAGGCAGGATCTACACAGCAAAGATGACAGCACGAATACACACCACCTATGCACAGACACATACCATGCTCAGATCACATGCTGAAAACAGTATCAGAAGTCCTCGTCTGAAAACCAAAATAAATGCTCTAATTCTCACAGAGTGTTTGTTTGTAAAGGCTATTAATCTGAAAATTCAACTTCTTTAGTGTTTAAGTATCTGACTCTATGTGTTTCACATTGACTTTGAGTCTATGTACAGTCAGAAATCTTGGCGTACGAATATAGTCATGAAAACTACAAAACAAAATACATAAACTCTTCCACTCCCCGCCACACCAGCTCTTACAAATGGGCATTAAGACACTCAAAACTTCTGACATCATCTACACCAAGATAAACAAGTAAGGAGTATGGGTGTTGCCTGGTACTTTGCTAATGTATTTCTGAGTTACGTGCTAACTGAAAGCCTGAATGATAGATGTGCCATAAATCTAATACACAGCAAGACCTGGAGACACTTTAGTAAGTGCAGGTGTGAAGGTTTTCATGAAAACTGAATGCTCCAACCACAAAGGTAGAAGCTCAGCAGCAACCGCTGTGGCCCGCTTTCATATAAGGAAGGGAGCTTCATAATCGGTTTTCAGCAAATGTCACGGGGATTGCCAGCAGGAAAACCTTTTATGTTGTTTACACTGAGATAAGACAATTTCTTCCCTCCTAGGTTTTCAGTGAACATAAAGGCAAAGGGCTTCCCTTTAGGAATGAAAGCAAAAAAACCTTAAAAAACATTGAGCGTTTAAATGTTTTGCTGAGTCAGAGTTTGTAACAGCTAATTGTTAGGAAAGTGTTTTGGAATAAACTGTGGGCAATACTATGAAACAATGCTTTTAAGAGGAATAAAGGGAAAAGGTGGAAAGTACCCATCACTTAACCACACAGTCCTTTGTATTAATATGAGGTTCAGGCAAGCAAGCAATTTTTTTCTGGAGGATTTTGGAATTTGGAGAATTGTCATCTTTTAGACCACACCCCTGTCTTCCAACTACAGTAAATAGTTCATTCTTCTTTCTCATTTAGGTGTCATTTTTGTATCACCAGGGAGCAAGATTTTAAGTCACCAGCTTCTGTGCTTTTGAAGCCTTTTCTAAATTCTTTTCAACTCAACATGGCTTAGACAGGCAGAAGTGGGCGGATTAGCTTGACAGCCTGCATCCACTACTCAGTTCCAAGGTTTCAGTGCAATATGCATCTCACACGTACCAAGGCACCTGTCATAGCTCCTAAGCCCTTTGAGTCAAAGGCGTTAGCTGGTGCCAGAACACTGGAGCTTCCACCAGGGGTGGGAAAGATTTTTAAATAAACAGCAAAAAACCCCAGGGTATATCTGGGCAATCCCTTTTTACTAATTAAACATTCAAATAGGATTAATGTACACAGATCATTATTATCTGAAGAGCCTGCCATGGAAAAGAAAGGTTTATGTCTATTTATGCATACCATCATAGGGGAAAAAACCCTTTAACCACTGATACTGGACTGGAGATCCAACTACACTTCCCATCTCTGCTTGAACATTACTGAAATCTTAGCCTAATATAGCTCTGAAACCACGAGCCCTGAAATTTGAATTGCCATTAATTTTGACTAACAGTCAGTACTTCAGATGCTATTGAAATTAAGTTCCATCTGGGAGTGCTGACTCAAAGTCAGAGAATGACCAGTGGTTTGTACAGAACCATACCAAGGATCATATTTCCCTGTACCTATGGAAATGTACCCAAGATGAACTTCTCGATGCAATATACTTCTGTTCTTACTTCTTCTTTGTTGCTTTCTCTTTGTTTGGTGTTTTGCAATAATGTTTTTAAAGCTTCATTTTTCACATAAAGAGAAAGAAAAAGTATGATCACTAGATCTTTAAACTGTGGCCAGCAAGGATTTCTAAATTGTAATTGTTCTTAAAAAGTTTTGATAGCATTTACTGCCGCAAATGTAAATACTCAAGCCGAGAAATTAATCAGGAAAGCTTCTTGGAGTAATCTCAAATGCAAAATACACATAATTATAGAAAATTAAGCCAAATAATGATCCAACTTTCTTAATTTTTGATTTCTATACAGTGCAAGTGACTAGCAGTGCATTTCATCAATGCACGTTTTTAATCTTCTAAACGCTTGCTTAAGCAACAAGGCTTCTTTAAGAAGCAGCACTTAGTAAAGAGTCTTCCGGCAGACAAAAGCAATTACAATGAAATAGATAACTATTACTGCTGCCCACGTGCTATATTCTACAGTAGCATTTCATTTTTACCCATGTAAAGGGTCCCACTTCCACAACATTGAGCATAATAACAAGTTACTAAGTTTTCGGCAAAACGTAATTATTCAAACAGTTTGTTATGCGTACAAAGTGGCTCCCTTTTCAAGACAAAACATTTCAACAACTAAATAATACTCTAATTATGTTTAACATGCAAATGCATTAATTTAAAAGGTTGCTAAAGGAGACTACAGTATGTTGGCAACATTGAAATCCCAGAAGTAAAACAGTGTCAATATGAACTGATACTCTGGACCCAACTTGTAAATCTCACTCATGCAGTCAGTCACATACAGCTTTCAGAAAGCATTCAAAAAATAAGACAAGATCAAGTGATTTTAAAAATCTTACAGGTTTTATAAAAATGTTATTATACATTACAAAAAGCCTTTTACCAATTAAAACTTACAAAACACTTAAAATGTCTAATAGTCTTTTAAAGAAAGATTATCTGTATTTCAATATGTACAGGTAACAGCTTATATCAAAACTTGATCAAATAGAAGACAATCCATAACTTTCATACCTATCTAATTAGAAGTATGAACACTGTCAAAAAGACGTGTTTAGAAATTACTGTCCTTGTCTATAAAAATAGAAAAGAGAGATACTCTAAGTATCTCACCTGAAGACTCAAAAATTTCCAAACATAACAAGACTCAGAACACAGCAGGTTTACAATGGTAACCTAAAAACACCAATTAAAACCTCTTAAAATCAGAGAAACTAAAACCACAGAAACTACTTTTCTGAGTATTCCAGCTCAGAAGAATGATGATGTAAATTAACAAGGAAGAAGAAAAAGAAGACTGGAAAAATACCCCTGAGATAAGGCAGAAACATTATTATTTTTTCTACTTGTTTGTTTCTTTGGCTTTTTGTTACTCTCAAGCTACCACATAGGTTTGAAAGGAAATTTTGTCCTGTGGTAGGTTTTAACAGTTACATCATCACCACATAGGTAATTATTCTGACACAATATAAGTAATAAAAAAAATAGCGTAAGTTGCTCTTTTTCTTCAGACTCTTCCCACTTCTGACCCCATCTCTCTATTTTTCTTTTTAACAATTTTTTAATCCTGCATATTTTTTCTCATTACCATTTCCCACATCTTCCTTTTTTTCTTGAGGGTTTTTTATAGACAAGTTCTTCAAAAGTCATGCTTTCATCTTCCACTTCATTTTCCAAGTCTCTGTCATGCACAAAGCCTATATTGAAAACAAGAAATTAATGCAGAATGGAAAACCCCAACACCTTTTCCTCTTAATAATATGACAAGCTATGTCATTGCTATTTTATATGTCAGCAATATACCTTCATGTGTGTATAATCATGTTTCAGAAGTATTGGGCTTAATATGACAATGTGCTTAAGAGCTCTGCTAGGAAGCAGAGACTGCTAAGCCACTTGCTGCACTTGTAATTAATTTTTACACTGAAAATCTGTTTCTATTGTTACTGCTTTTGACTTTTTTAAGAAGTATGTCTCTCCTCTCTCAAGGTTCAGATTCAGCAGAAAATACATTTGCTTACTCACTTGAAGGACAGACTGTATTGTTGCTTGTGAGACTACGAGAGCGCTCTTGTGTAGTCTTATTAACTATATCGTTCTTGGAAGAAGACGGTGTTAACACAAGACTTTATCACAATCAAATTTTCTAAAATAGAGCTACTTTAATGCTTTACATATAGTGCAATTTGTAAGCCTGATCACTTCATTGCTGCCTTTTTGTGCAACTGTTGCAATCCCACCACCTAAATATGTGCTTAAACCTAAACATACCGGTAGGCCCAATGAAGGCTTAAACTTGTCCTCAGAGGTCTGTGATGCAATAGACTGCATCAATGTATGTTACTTTCAGTGTGAAACCAAGTGAAATGGAAGTGAAAACAAAAGAAAACCAACTGCATATAATATTTTTCCACAGAACTCTTAAAAACAAGCTAAGGATTAGTTCTGTTAGGAAGCTAGTTTCTGAGAACTTGGATCCACACCGCCCATAAATGCACTGCTGCAGCAGAGTTAAGAAACAGCACTGTCTTATTGGTGAAGATGAAGTTAGCTTCTCTTCTGTCCCGTCCCCCCCCGCCAAGTTTCTATCCTGAAGACTGCACCTTGAACCATAGTTACGTGTGCATCTGTGCATGCCTGTGTGCACAAACGCACGTATATTTTATGCAGGCTGGGATCCACTGAGAGCCAGGGAGGAGGTTTGCTCCTTTCTGGCCACCCTGTAACCAGCTGCGAGGCTCATGCTCTGTTTTAAAGAGCCACTGAGGAAGGACTGGTTAACTCATGTTTTCCAGAATGCCCCAATGGAGGTGCCCGTTTCTTGTTGCCTAGAGGGTAAGTGAATATCCACAACACTGCTGACTTGGAGACTAAAGTGATGCTAAGAGACCGTTACGGAACAGTGATCTCTAAGAGGCACAGAAACCTGTGTAATTTGAAAACATACCTTCTTCTTTTATCCTGTGAGAGTCCATTTTCTTCAGCCACTTACGAGCCTCATCAATGGTGGCAACCAATTTGTTGGCATGTTTGGTTATTATTTCTTCAGCTGAAATGGAGCACAATTAACATTCTGTAAGAACACTAGTGGAGAGATGGACAGTGGCTAAAAGCCAAGCACAAAACCAAGTTACACAGAGCTGTGTTGTATGACGATGCTGCAAAGCAAGAAGTCTCAGCCACCAGTGATCTCACAGGCAGGCAAATTCACTACTGGGGATGAAGATGCGGTATGTATTACTCCCCATTCCAATGAACATTACTAGCACTATGAGAGGAGAAGCTCTCCATCCTTGTGCTGTCCCTTTTAAGGTATACCTGAAACTCCTGCAAACATTCTGGTTTATCTGGTTTGGGTATTAAAGTTCCTGGCTTTCATTGCCCCTCCGAAATTATATGAGTCAAAGTAAAACATGGACCCAAAATGTTGCAGCCCTTGCTTAACTGCGCCATTAAGGACCTAAAAAATGCTTGTTATAAAGTGAGGAAAAAGTAATCTCAAAGGCAAATAATTTCTGTAAATATATTTTCACTGAGTGGAAAAACAAGGTAACATTCATCAAGCAATTGTCATAACAAAATCAACTATTACCTAATTAAGCCTACTACATCTATCACATTCATCACCATCATAGTTCATTGACCCTAAAGCCAACTAAATAATAAGCAAAACTTTATGGAGTTCATCCATATGTAAAAGCTTTTCACTAGGAGTAAAGAAAAAGCTTACACATGAATACCATGATTTAGTTACAAATTTAACATATTTCACTGATCACAGCAGATGAACATATCAAATATCACAGTTTTTCGCTACTGTCAGATATCACAGGCAAAGTGACAACTTGACAGGGTTGGTGGATTTCTACAGCTAAAGCCAGTGACAGTGTTTTGATTTAAGATGTCACTTTCCCACAGCAAGTACCCCAAACAATTTTGCTCCTAGGCCACTCATTCAGTGGTTCAATTTCACTTGCAAAAAGCAGCATAGAATAATGCTTTAAGCTTATGAAGGGAAAAAAAAATCAAATATCAAAATATGTATCTCTTAAGTACCATAGTTTACTGGACTTCATAATACCAGGGTTGCCTTTGAGTGCCTGACACCCCACAGATTTGTAGTTAAGTATCCACTTTTATTCAGCCCTAGCAAAATTACAAGTTCAAGGGCAGACTAGTCAGAGATATCCTTAACCAAAGACTCCAAGTATTCATAACACTCTAGCCCTACATATCCAAATTACTATGGCTGGCAGAACTAAGTAAGTACAAAACAGTATTCACTTTACCCATACTATCTGATGTATTACTTTGTGTTTGGAACAGGTGAGAAAATATTTTTTAGTATTTTCAACTCTCTTGGTTCTTCTTTTCCTCAGCTACCTGAAATACCTGGACACACCTTTCCCTTGACCACATTAAGATTTTCAAATGGAACTTTGTCAGGTCTAGAAGTTTGGCCACAAATGGCATACTAAATTGTTTAAAAGAAAACTGGAAAGGTCCTACCTTTAGCCCAGGCTTTTCTCTCATAGATTTCCTCTACCGCATCTGAAATCTTCTTAATATTCTCTTTGATTTTTCTCTGGCGTAAGTTGGAACCTTCTTTATATGCTAAGTAGTCTCGGGTGTAAGTCTTTTCTGTAATGGCCTCCGCTACTTCCAGTCCATCATATATTATTGGATCTATCTTTCTTCTAAAAAAGTCGGCGTAGTATTTGTAGGCAATGTTATTATTTCTGTGTTCATCTGTGTTTCTGTGCTCTACGTAAGCCTCACTGGCCACAGAAACTGCGTTTCCTTCTGCATGCAACTTTTCTTCCCCGCTGATCTCTGTTGGTGTCACAGCTTCAGAAGTGTCTGCCTCTATGTTTTCTGACCGGCTGAAATAGTTCTCAGAGCTCTGGATAAATCTGACTCCACAGAGGTCACACTGGGTTTGGTCAATATCTGCTTTTTTGAAGATCTCTGATAAAAATTCCTCTCCTTCCATTGCAACAGGCTCAGCTTTGGAGGAGGCCTTCCTTTTCCACTTCATGCATAGGAAAACAAAATGGAAGACACGACGCAGCTGGCGTTGAGCAGATGCTTTCTGCTCTTGCTTCTGTTGCTTGCTGAGTGCAATGACTTCCAGGGGATCCTTTTGGTCCTCTAAGCAATGAACCCTTTCAAGTTCCTTTTCTAGCTCATCATTGTATTCTGTCTTATCCAAAGAGGTCATAAACCTGTCAAGGTTTATGGTTTCATACAGGATGCCCCGTATGGGTGGATGCCCCTGAGTGTATGCAGAGTCCCACTTCCATCGGCAGTCAACCAAGTACTCTGCATCTCGCTCTGTCAGCAGCTCTTGCAGGCCTGCAGCGATTTCTCTTACGTGTGTAGCATCACTCACTTGTTCCACAACCCTTAGCAATCTTTCAGGCACTTTAGAGGGAGAGTCTTTTCTCATTGATTTTAGCATCACCTTGATTTCAGGGAAGTGGTGGTGTAAGAGGGATCTATATCTAGAATTCTGTACCTGGTCAGCATTCAGTAACATCACTAAGCACAGCACTACGGTCCGCTCAGCCTCCCCTGAAGTTATGCAATCAGGATCCTCAAAAGCATCCAAAAGGACATTGAACTTTCCATGAACTCCACACAAAACTTCTGCTAGATAACAGAGATGAAATCTGAAATTCTGTACAGCTACATATGCATCCTTTGGTCTATACTCCTGTATAATAGAAAATGTGTCTCTAAGTTCTTTGTTAAGGTCCTTGCTTCTGAACAAAAACTCCCAGTAATGAATGAGAGCAATGTAACTCTTCGGAAAGCAGAGAGTAATGTTCTTGGAGAGACGCATCAGGACAGCACAACAGAGCATATACTGGAATTCCAACAACATCACCGTGTTTCCTATGCTTGGAATCAGGTATCTTGTGCATTTCTTGACCAGGACATTCATAAAACGGAAAAAAAACCTTTTACAGTTTTCCGGGTTCTTATGAACATAGAATTGCTCAAGTGAATTTTCAAGAAGTCGAATGAAGCACAAGTGCGTTCTTCCTGCATTTTCGGCATTTTTGTCAGGCAGCAACATACCATGTCTGCCCTCTATTCCTTTGGCCTTTCCTCCTTGGCCTTTACTCTTTGGGGAGTTTTTTGCCTTTGACAACGCAAAGTTTAGCTCTTTGTTATAATCATCCTCTTCCTTAAAAAGGAGTTTCTCAAATTCCTCAGGATATCCTGAAGATAAGATGAAAACTTGCATGGCCCTTAGCCACAAGTCAGTTGATTCTCTTCTGGCTGCAGTGTCTTCATTTTTAAACTTAAATGTGATGTACTCCTTCAACACTGCTCTACAGGGTTTGGAAATAATGTTACTGAATTCCAGTATTTCTTTGCATGCCTTTGGGTTCTCAGACAGTATTCTCAAATGAAAATGATTAGGAAAAAACATTTCTAGGAGGGCTGTACACGATGCATATTTGTCAGCAGTCAAAATATCATCAAAGCTTTTGCACTGATTCAGTAGCTCTTTAGGGAAAGTGCGTGTGGCTTCCAACAGCAGTCCGTTTATTGCCACCAGATGCATTTTACACTGAAATATTGTCTTTGCTTCATGGCGCAACAAGGGTTTATGGTAATCCTCACAGGTTTTATCTTCACAGTTCAAGCCAACAATGAACTTCATACAAATACCAGGGTAATGCCTGTTCAGTAACACATGGGTGATAGAGCACAACCTGCTTAACAAGTGCTGCTTCAAAGCTGATTTTACCTCCTGTGTGCTTACTGAGAGATCACCTTTTGTCTTCCTCTCTTTTAGACTTGGCTTGTCTGGCAAAAACTTGAGAATGGGTTCAGCTTCATTTTGAGACACCTGGCAACTGTCACCTGTTGGGACAATCCCAAAATAAGCAAAGCATGACTTCACCATATCTTTCTCCGCATTGGTGGCTGCTTTCTTCAAACCCTTAACCAGACTCAGAAGAGCCATTAAGCCACGCGTTGCCATAAAGAGGATGTTCTGGTTATGAGTGCTGCAGCGAGATAATGCAAAGAGAGCTTCAACCGCACCAGCAGAGTGATTCAGAGATAGGAACTGACAGTATGCGTTGCTCAGCTTTGCGAAGTCTCCCTTCAGAGTTCCCTGCAAAAACACAGCCTCAGCAATGCCAGACTTCTGCTCAGTTTGTTCACAAAGTTCGAGGGCTTCTCTTAGGATGACCTCCAAGTCCACCAGGTCCGATTCTGAACAGCGAGTCACACCGGCACGTGCTGCAGCAAGCAAACACAATGCACGAAATTCTTTTATAGCTGTGAGGTTGGCTGCTTCCAGAGCAAACCCGTGTTGTTTCATTAACTTTGCAGCTTCTTCCTCTCGACCTTCCCTTTTCAGCAAGTCTGCTGTTTGGCGCAAGCATCCACGAGACTTCAGAAACTCAAGCTGATCCTCTATATCAAGTTTTGAGAGGACTTGCATCATTTCCTCAGTTCTGTTCATACTCAAGTACTTTGCAGCTGCTTCCAAATACAACTGATTTGCTGTACATGAGAGTTTGGAAACCATTTGTCCTTTTGTATTTAACATCTCTTCATATCTGAAATAATAGATACATCAATTTACTACCATAGATGACTAACCTAGGCAAAAAAACACTGCATTTTTAAAAAGCCCCTAAAACACTAAACAAATAGCTGCCCCCAGAAGCCCTTCCTTCAAAAAGGCCAACTATTTCAAATGATATGTCTGTCATGCGAAAACCAATCACAACATCTTAAAAGATCTAGGGAAAGAATTTAGTTACAGCATAAGGCTGTCTGAAGCAAGATCATTAAAACTTCTGGTACAAAAAAGATCACAAGGTTTATGGCATTAGTGAATCTTTCTCCACGCTGTCAAATCACTGTACTAATTATTTTAATCACATTTTGCCAGTGATAATCTTCTGTTTATTAAAGTTAGCCTCAATATAGAATGGTTGTTTACACGAACAGAAGCCAGAATGAAATAAATGTGAATTTCAACAAATTCTCCATGGGCCAATATAGATAATATTATGTAAAATTTACATAAATGAGTCAGTTTAGAGAACTCTTTCAATTCTGTCATGTGTATCTACATATACTTTGCTGCTTACTGAGTGCCTGAGCAAAGTACCTGGTTGCATCTTTCAAAACATGCACTTTAAAACACTCAGTTATTAATTATTATTGGCTGACATGAAATTATTAAGATATCCCCTAAGCCCATCTTGCAAAAGTATTCTCTCCTGCATGCTGAGAATGAGTAATTTTTTCCTCATGGGTGAGTAAATTATCATTAGCCTTTTATTATCACCTTTTTCATGATATACGTGGGAGTGCAGATTTTTCTAGCTATGCTGAAGAATTTGCATGAATGATTTGGGGATGCTGACTTAAAAAATCGTTAGTTGGTAAGGTGACTTTAATGCTTTAACTTTTTGATCAAACTATCTCTACATATTTAATAAACTTTAATCCTTCAAAAAAAAAGTTGCCATTACTAAAGGCACTTCACAAAGGACTTCAGTGAAGGTGTGTAACTGTAGGCCTTGGTAGAATTCTAATTGGTGTACATATTCTCTAAAAGTCATCAATCAATTTAGGTGTAAAGAAGGGTGTGGCCAATAAATTAACCTTTTATGCAATAATGTGCTAATGAGGTCACAGGGATGGTGCCAGATGCAAAGTTTTGTCAAAAAGATACTAATAAAATCAGTTTATCAAGCACAGTGCAAGGCAGTTCTTAACTGCCCTGAGCCAGTACAGGGGGGATGGTATAGAAAAGTTCACCTCAGAGAGTGGGACCAAGAAACTGTCAGGCAGCACAAGCTGCTCATTTAAATTACTATTCTTTGCTCTTAAGTTAGAGATTTTGAGAGACAAATAGTTCATTTGCCACAATGACTTCTGCATTATATACCACACATCTAATGGTTATAATCCTACAGAAGTCAGTGACTAACTGGCTAAATCCGTTACTATTTCACCCTTAAAAGAGAAGTACTTAATACTTCCATTAAATGTTTTTGTCATATTTACCATGAGAACCTAGTTCAGAGGGCTGGCTGAAGGAGACCTTGCGTGACTAGTAATACAGACTGGAAAAAATTCCCAGGAAAATGAAGCTAGTCACTGCTCCAGCTGTGAATACATTATAATGCTTTCACCGTGTTATCATTACTCAAGTGAGAATTCTGACAAAGTTAACTTCATGTAAAACAAAGTCACCAGCCAAGACTCTTGTGAAAATTTTATGGTGAGCCAGCTGTATTATGCTGAATTTGGAAATGGAAAAGAGAATTATATTCCAATACCATCTTGGAAGACATACCTTTCAACTGCCTTTGCTGCCTCTTCATAGAGTTCTTCCTGACAATACATTTTAATTGCCAGATCAAACTCCTCAATTTGTTCATAACATTCAGATGCTTCTTTGTAGCACTGGCTTTTCTGATAGTAAACTGCGGCATCTTTCATCTGCAATGTAGAAGTCAGTAATGAAACTGAAGTGCTCTAAACAGTCAAAACTACAGGAACAGAACAAATTTAGTAATTCTATCATGTAGGTGTCTCAGAGACACACACTTTGATAAAATGTAATTAAAGTATCTGAATATAATCAAATACATATTAAAGTAACTGTCCTGGTTTCAGCCGGGATAGAGTTAATTGTCTTCCTAGTAGCTGGTACAGTGCTATGTTTGAGTTCAGTATGTGAAGAATGTTGATAACACTGACGTTTTCAGTTGTTGCTCAGTGGTGTTTGGACTATAGTCAAGGATTTTTCACCTTCTCATGCCCAGCCAGCAAGAAAGTTAGAGGGGCACAAGAAGCTGGCACAGGACAGAGCCAGGGCACCTGACCCAAAGTGGCCAAAGAGGCATTCCATACCATGTGATGCCACATCTAGTGTATAAACTCGGGGGAGTGGCAGGGGGGGGGTCGCCGCTTGGGGACTAACTGTGTCTTGATCGGTGGGTGGTGAGCAATTGCACTGCACATCATTTGTACATTCCAATCCTTTTATTATTGCTGTTGTCATTTTGTTAGTGTTATCATCATCATTATTAGTTTCTTCTTTTTTGTTCTATTAAACTGTTCTTATCTCAACCCAGGAGTTTTACTTCTTTTCCTGATTTTCTCCCCCATCCCACTGGGTGGGGGGGTAGTGAGCGAGTGGCTGCGTGGTGCTTAGTTGCTGGCTAGGGGTAAACCACGACAGGAACTGTCATTAAAACTGAACAGATTTAAAAAAAACCTTCAAAATATTTGTGTCCAAAAAACTGAAATGTAAAATTAAAGGTATTATACAGGATTTCCAAAGTACTTTTTATTCACCCAGCTCTGCCACACACACACTTCTGTTGACTTTCAAATTTCTCAGAATCCACAGGATTAAAGTAAAACAGTTATGGATGCAGAATGGGAACCCTAACCTTGTATCTTAAATATTTGGGAACAATTACTTTACATTCTTGTAGTGGAAATGCCCTGCAAATAAAAAATGTTAAATATCCTCATACACTTAGAAAATTGTTAGTACATTACTTAACCCTTGCAAGTTTCAAGGTTTCATTTAGATGGCTGTCATCAGTGAAGGTTCAGTATCATCAGAGTATTGAATGAAGTAACAGCTTAAGTTTCATGAAATCAGTCATTGATTAACTTTCAATTGCAAAGCAGAAATGACTGATGGTGACATTGGAGCAAAGCCAAAGAAATAAACCTAGACTGAGTAATTGCATCATTGTCCTCTTCCTTCCTCTTCTGGCTGTTCTGTGACAAATGCTTCCTCTTGAACAGCCCAGCTTAAAGAGCTGTTTTAGTTCAGCTACTACCATGTCACAGAAAAGTACTATTACCTTATGAGTAGTATGAGGGGAAAAAAAGCTGTAGGAAAAGGAAAGTGGTAAGGAGAGGATAGTTTAGAGGATATAATACCTTTCCTAACTTTCTACACAGTTCTGCACAAAGCCGGAACTCCTTTGACTGAAACAGACATTTTAGTGATAGTTTTGGTTCTCCACATTCCAAGTAAGTTTTAGCCAATGTCATATATTCCATCTGTTTTTCCCTGTAGAAAGTAAGAGAAAATTACCGCTTACATCCAAATTAGCTTTAGTATCACATTATCTGTCACTGAATCCAACCAGCACTGACATCATGTGTTCTTCTTCATACATAACCTGATGAGGTATTACCTTACAATTAGTTATATTTTGGGCTGACACTGTTCTGTCCAGAAGTCTGTTCCAGAATCAAACTGCTCTGGCAGTAAAAACCTTTTTTGTTTTGTTTTTGTTTTTTTTTTTTAATTCTCAAACTAAAGCATACTAGTGCGGTTTTGTGCTGCTTCTCTTTTCTAACTTAACTTGCTCCTTCTTCCTTTCTGCTGTTTAGCCCCAATGCCATTAAAGACAACAATCAAATTTGTTCTCAGCCTTTGTTCTATATAACTAAACAAGCCCAGCCTTTCCAGTATCAGCGCAGCATGTCTATTTTCTTTCCAGACCTATTCTGAATTCATCATCCTTGAGCCTGGAGGATCAGAACTGTAGAGAGCATTTCATATCATAGAGCACACAGGAATCTTACTTATGCTTTGTACATCAGCATTAATACATCTACTAAAAAAAAAAAATGCCACTTTCACAGCTTCATTATTACATATGTTCTGTCAACTTAACACATCCCAACATACCCAATTTCTTCTCCTCAAATTTTATCCAGTTGACAAGCACCCCAGCTTACAGCCAACTGAAAAAAAGTTTTTTCAGTCCCATCAACAAACTCTCTATGATCATGAAATTTTATGAGTATCCTTATACTTCTAGCCAGGGCCACTAATATAAAACAGGTAATTAAAAAAGGTAAAACCTTGATTAACTCCAGACCTTCCCCCTTCTCCTTTGAGTGCTAGCTTCCTCTTCTCTAGTCATTCCTTACCCACTGTGCTACCACTGCTAGTTTTTGGCCTCCCCAGCATGAACAGGAATTAATTCACTTAGGTCTAGAGTACTCGCCATAAAGTTTTTTCCTGTCCTATTTGAGACAAGTCCCAAACAGTTTTTCAGCCTCTTCAGGAAACTGCAAACTTTCTCCCTTGTCAAACCCTTCAGCTATTTTGCCCAGCTGACAGCATGAACTAAATGATTCATCTCACAATCTGTCCCTTTAAAACTGCCCTTTGGTTCAGAGCTAGTTCTGCTTGTTTAATTTAGATTGACTCTAACACTAATTTTGCCTCAAAGCTCACTTTTTGTTAGCAGCTTTTCTTCCCAAATGTACAACACCATTCCTTCTTCTTTGTTAAATGAATATGCAGTGGGATTAACTGGAGTTGAGCACTGCTGATGGCATATGCTTTTCTAACTATATCTAATAATATAAAGCTTCTTGAGGTAATGCAAATCCTGTTGCTTTTCTCTCACATAACCAGTAAGCCCTTTCAAGGGCCACATTTGGTTTGGACAACCTATGGCATACAACTGCTTTCACTACTCCCCAAAGGGAGCAGTGCCCCAGATCCTGTTGGAGCTGTGCTAGACTTTCCAATTTCTTAAATCCCTTTTGCCACCCACAAACAAAGAGGTGAAGACACCTCGCCTGTGTGGTTCTCCGATGTCTCCAGTCCGGTCCCGCAACTGTGGTGGGAATCTTCCCCTGCACACACCCATGAGGTCTGGCACTGCAGAATGACACTCGTTCATCTGTGTTTATGCTTACCTGGGGCTGCTTTTCTTTGAGTGCACTTTGAGAACAGCATCGTGTGCCAGGGCCAGTTTTGACTTCTCAGCTGCTCCTCCCTTTTGGTAACATTTGGCTGCCACCTGGGGTGAAATCATACACAGCATTCACACATGTGCATCCAGCCCATGGCTTATCACATAAAAGCAATACTTTATTTTACAGTCACTGTAATGGAAAATAGAAAGACTGGCAGGGTGCCTGGAAGAAGGAAAAGGTAAAACATTGCAGTGTATTTTTAGGACAAAAAGAAAGGCTTTGAAGTCAGTCCACATGTGACTATCACAATTAGAATTTTAATTACAATGTTTTACATGGAAGTAGTGAAAGCAAAATTCCTGGTAGGCTGATAGAACAAATAGCACGTGCAATTTGAATGATGGCCTAAACCATTAATTGGTAAGTCACCAGGCATCTACCACATAAATTCTATTAATAAAAGTTAGGAAAACCAATGCAAAGTTAAATTGAAAAGCATGGAACATTTATTCGTGCTTTTACCATACCAGGCCCTTTCTGTGATAAGCTAAAGGGAATCAGCGGGAGCTACCATGCTCCTAGCAAGGTTTGCTTCATTATCACCTTGCTCATTCTGCAACACCATTATTTCTTTATTCTATCCATTAATTTAGTAATTGCTTCTGTTTGGAAATTGCATATTGCAAGCCACTCTTAGAACTGCCAAATTCACCAGATAATTTCTTCTTAATGTACCAATGATAAGCAAAGATCAGGGTTATAAAGAAAAAAGAACAGCAGATAATGCAGCTAATACATTTCAGATTTGAAGATTAAATTTTTTCAGCTGTGTGTTTTTTATCTTAACACTTTTCTGTCCATTTAGGAAATTGCCTTTTTTTTCCCAAGGGGAGATAGACTGTCTGTATAGTGGCGGGTGATTATTTTGATTTTTGCCTTGTTATAAATATCTATTTTCCATACAAAAAATTATATGTTGCTATCAGCAAAAAATGGAAGCTTTCCTTCTGCCATGATCAAAAAAGGCATCCAAAATTTTATTTCATAGACTCACAAAATATCTCAAGTTGGAAGGGACTCACAAGGATCATCGAGTCCAACTCCCTGCTCCTCCTTACCTAAAACTAAACCATATGACTGAGAGCATCGTCCAGATGCTCCTTGAACTCTGATAGGCTTGGTGCTGTGACCACTTCCCTGGGGACCCTCTTCCCGTGACCGACCACCTTCTTACTGAAGAACCTTCTCCTCATGTCCAATCTGAACTTCCCCTGATGCAGCTTCATTCCATTTCCTCGTGTCCTATCGCTGGTCACCAGACGGAGGAGGATCAGCACCTCCCCCTCCACTGCCCCCCCTCCCCGTAAGGAAGCTGTAGACTGCGATGAGGTCACCCCTCAGCCTTCTCTTCTCCAAGCTGAAGAAACCAAGTGATCTCAGCTGCGCCGCCTAAGCCTTGCCCTTGAGACCTTTCACTATCTTCGTCACCCTCCTCTGGGCACACTCTAACAGTTTAATGTCCTTCTTATATTGAGGCACTCAAAACTGCATGCAGTACTTGAGCTGGGGCTGCACCAGTGGAATGCAGAGTGGGACAATCACCTCCCTTGACTGCCTAGCTACACTGTGCTTGATGCACCCCAGGACATGGCTGGTCCTTTTTGCTGCCATGCCAGGGCACACTGTTAACTCATATTCAACTTGCCATCAACCCAAACCCCCAGATCTCTTTCCACAGGGCTGCTCTCCAGCCTCTTGTCCCTCAATTTGTATGTATAACTAGGATTACCCCGTCCCAGGTGCAGAATCTGGCACTTGCTCTTGCTAAATTTCATACAGTTCATGATTGCCCAGCTCTCTAGTCTATCCAGATCTCTCTGTAAGGCCTCTCTACTCTCGAGGGAGTCCACCGCTCCTCCTAGTTTAGTATTGTTGGCAAACTTACTTAATGTACATTCAATTCCTTTGTCCAGATCATTTATAAAAACACTAAAGAGCACTGCACCTAAAATTGAGCCCTGGTGACTGGCCACCAGCCTGATATAACCCCATTTACTATAACTCTTTGAGCCTGACCTGTCAGCCAATTGCTCACCCAACATATTATGGACTTGTCTAGCTCTGTGCTGGACATTTTGTCCAGAAGGATACTGTGAGAGACAGTATCAAAAGCTTTGCTAAAATCCAAACCCACCACATCTACTAGCTTCCCTTGGTCAGCTAGATGCGTGATCTTGTCATAAAAAGAAATTAAGTTGGTTAAGTAGGACTTTCCCCTCATGAACCTGTGCTGGCTATGACCAATGACTGCACTGTCTCTCAAGTGTTTTTTGGTAACTCCCAGAATTTTATCAGGCACTGAAGTGAGACTGAGACACCAGAGTCTTCCTTCTTACCCTTCTTGAAAATTGGGACAACATTTGCCAGCTTTCAGTCGATTGGGACCTCTCCAGACTCCCAGACTGTTGAAAAATAATGGAGACAGGTCCCGCAATAAAATGAGCCAGCTGTTTCAGTACCCTGGAATGAATCCCATCGGGACCCATAGACTTATGTGCATCCAGCTGGAGCAGCAAGTCTCAAACAAGTTCAGTCAGCTGGGAGTTTATCATCCCCCCAGTCACAGTCTTGCAACACAGGGCTCCAGGAGTCCCAGGGCCCACCATCGGTGTTAAAGACAGAGGTGAAGAAGGCAATAAACGTCTCTGTTTTGTCTATGTCCCTATTTGCTAGGTGACTGACCCCATCAAGTAATGGACCAATGTTATCTCTGATCCTCCTTTCACTGTTAACATATTTAAAAGAGCCCTTTTTGTTATCCTTCACAGTGCTGGCCAGCTTGAACTCTAATCAAGCTTTGGCGGCATGAATTTTCTCCCTACAGTGCCAAACAGCATCTCTGTAGTCCTCCCGTGCCACCTGTCCTTCCTTCCAATGTCCATACACTTTCCATTTCTGCCTAAGTTCTAGAATAAGATCCCTGCTCAGCTAAGCTGGCCTTCTGCCTCACTTGCTTGACTGCCGACACTTTGGAATTGCCTGCTCCCGTGCTCTTAAGAGATGGCTCTTAAAAAGTGACCAGCATTCATAGACCTCAAGATCTTCAAAAGCAGATTGGCAGGTGACCTTACTAACTAGCTCCTTCAGCAGCCCGAAGTCTGCTCTCCCCATATCCAGGGTCAAAGTTTTGCTGGCAGTTTCTCTCCTATCACCAACAATTTGAAACTCAATGTGGTCACTGTGACCAAGACAGCCATCAATCACCACTTTGCCCATGAGTCCCTCTCTGTTTACAAACAACAAATCTAGGAGGGCACCTTTCCTAGTCAGCTCCCTTAGTACCTGCACCATGAAGTTATCTTCAGCGTGCTCCAGAAATTTCCTGCACCTGTTTGTGTGCATTGTATGGTATTCCCAGTTGCTGTCTGTCCCAAATCAATGCTGGCTTCCCAGTTGATGTCTGAGAAGTTAAAATCACCCATAAGGACAAGGGCAGTTGGTCTGGAGATATCCCTTAATTCTTTGCAGAATAATTCATTGGTGGTGGTGTCCTGACTGGGTTTTGCTTCCATTCCATTAAGTGTCACCCCATATCTGGATTGTATTAACTATCAATTTAGGAAATAAAAGACTGTAAAATCTCTATGTTCTTTAAATAGTGAGGGAATGAAACCATCATTTTGCTACTCTTTCTGTGGTCTTCTTAGTGCTCCCTTGGTTCTTACATGCTGTTCCTTAATGTGTTTTGTACCCATCCCTAATTACTGTCCAAAAAACCATAAAAGGGCTCTGAGATCATCACCCAAATCAACATACTTCCAAGAAATGTTTTCATTTTCCTGCAGTAATGTGTAATGATATTGTCAAGCACGTGGTTTAGATTCACGAATTCCAGTCAATGCGAGTTGTTGCTAATGATTGTTTTTTCCAACCATTTTTCGTTCATGCACATTAAAATGTTTTTCCCTCGTTGAACTGCAAATTTCGAAGCAGTGAATTTAAAATTACAGACAATAGGCTTGCTCTCCCTGCTTACTTCTTGCAAGTCATTTATTAGTCTGTAGAGACCTACACAACTACAAACCACAAACTAAGACTGCTACAGAGCAACTGAAGGTATATAGATAATTTTATAGATGCAAAGAAAAAAAACAAAAAAAAACAAAAAAAAAGGTTTCAGAATAGACAAGAACCCTTATTTCAGATAAAGATATGCTCCTACCTCCCAGAACTGATGTTTAGCATAGTAGTCTCCCTGTGCAATCCATTCTTCTGGAGTTGAAGTTTTAGCAAACATGCTGTCATCTAAGTCTAGAAGGTCAGGGGTAATCATTTTATGTTAGAATGGATAAACCACAGAAACCACTTACGTACCAAAACTAAGCATTAACATCTCATAATACTCCAAACTCTAAGAACTGTGCTCACGTCAGTAATGGTAACTTTTAATTAAATACATTTTATCCTTCTCAACCAGCACTGAAAATCAACAAATTGAGTTTGGTTTTGAAAGACCTTTAAAAATCATGCTTGTTTTTTGGACAAAACTTTGAGTAAATCCACTGCCTCTACAGAAACCAAATTCTTTCATTTGATAAATCTCTTTTAGCTGGGATGGTTTTCCATGAACAGCCTTCATTACTATGCAGATGTGACAGATGCACTCCTCCTGTTCAAACTAACTGAACTTTGGTCCAGGCAGATGCTCAGCAACTAGGCCTATTAGTTAACCCTATTGTGTGAGGCTATCAGTGAGAACACACCACCAAAACAAACAAAAAAACCCCAGTTTGGCTGGAGACTGGGATGGTAAGTGGCTGAAACTGTATAAACACAGCAGAAAATCTGACTACAAATCAACCACTTTATGCTATAAATATCTGCACCCATCACAGTCCGTTGAGCTCTGGCTGGCTGAGTGGCAGTGATCTCCTGTTGAGCAGAGACACCTCTCAGGTAGGGTTACACCTCGAGGCTGAGCAATCCCTTATCTGACAGCAGGCATCGACAGGATGGTAAGTGACATTTTTGCACACATGTAACATTTAAGATACGTATAGTAAGCTTATGTGACAATTTTTGTATCCCATACTAACTTTAAGTGTAGTAAACAGTAGAGTATTGACTGCCAATCCATCTGTACTTATTAAATATTTTACATACCTATATTTACTCGTTAGAACTCAATAAACTAACTACTAGATCAGATCTGTCTGAATGATCTCTGACTCTTCTCCTGCGACAGCAGGAAAACTTATATTAATGAATTAGCAATGAAGTTATGTATTATCATATACAACTGACCTTTACAGACAAAAGAAATAAGACCCACTGAAATCAGTGGAAAATTGCGAGGGCAGTTATCAATGCAGAGTGTTAGAAGAATGAAGGAATTTAACGTTCTTTATTATACAGCCTAGAAGCTGAGTAGACTGTCCTGTTTGAGTCTTGTTTTAGGATAACTTTACCTTTCTTTTCATCTGCTTTGACAACCTGAACAAATTCTCTTTTGATGAAATACTTAAAAGCTGGAGCCCGTTTATCACTGTCTTCATCGAAAATCCAAAGATTGACTCTGGCCCTTGTAACAGCAGTATACAATTGCTTTAGTTCTCCATTCAGCATCTGCAGCAGAACAAAAAAAAAAAAAAAAAAGCAACACACTGAAATAAAATAAAATAAATTAAATGCCAAATGAGCTAAATTGTTAGAAAGAAACATACTTTGCAGTTAGAAGAAAACAGCTAATATATACAGAATGAATAAGAAATAAGAAAGTATCTTTAAGTAAGCAAGTCTAAATATTAAATATGTGATTTTTCAATTACATAAACTATTGTCCAGCTAATTTGCAAGGAACTACTGCTACAGCAAATCTAGCAGCTGTAGGTGTGACAGTCCTTTTTCTTTCTAATCACTTGCACATATAATTATTCATTTTTTACCATACAATCCTGAAAATATCTGACTCACTAGATTCTAAGAAGTTTCATAATTTTAAGAGTGACATCGATCCGAAATGAGACTGAAGTAATAATAAATAGAGAGGCTGATTGCTATCTGCTTTAACCACAGCTGTTCTGTAAATACACCTGTCTATTACAGATAGTTTTTGTTCTGTTATCAGATTATATTTGCAAAAAACCTCTTATCTTTCAAAATCAAGATTATATTATACAAATGTGAACAACTACCAAAAAGATAAAGCAACCTCGATAAACACAGAACTACAGGATAAAAGGATTTCTTGAAGAAATTTCCCTACTTTTAAGATTTAAGAATTTAGTTCATCCTATTCCCAGTGTTACCAAAAACTCACCTTGTACATTTCTACATTAAAAGGAGTTCTTTTCTGCATACCAGTAGCATCCTCTAAAGGCATTTCGATTAGCAATTTGCTTCCTATTTGCACATCCGAATCAGGAGTATAAGAAGAAATTATCTTCCATTCTTTACTAGCCTAAAATGTCAAGAGAATGAGGTTTACTCGTATGCAGCAATCACTACTAACCACATACGCAAAAGATAAGGTCTTATGTTGTGATCGACCAATGCATCCCCACAACTGAAGAAGGCTCAGAGGAAATGAGTGGGGGAAAAAAATTATCTCAGGGAAGAATGTAAAGAATAACCACCAATTTTCATCAACAAAGCTGAACTTCATCTCAACACAAGTGGGACTCTAGGGTAACCTTTGTCTGAGATACATGTCTGTACCAGGTGGTCATCAAGTTGAATAAACAACTTTCCTTAAAATAGCTAGTAGAGAGTAATGTCCTCCTGAGCCGCCCAGACCAACATGGGGCAAAATGAATACATGGCTTAGTCCAACAGAATGTGTAAAAACTGAGCAACAAACAAACACCTGGAAGAGTGCAACTGGCTTGAGCTGGCTTCAAGCTCTGTATTACTTCCCAGGGACTGGGGATGCCCAGCATTATGATGGTGGAGCACATAGGAACCGCTAAAGGGAATCATATTTGTATTGTGATTCCGCTGTATATTGCCATTGTTATATTATGCTTGCCTTCTGATTAAGGGATACTGCTATACCACTCTTCTAAATCCAAATCACATGCAATGCCTAATATATCAAATAACTAAATTTGATATTAAACATGAAAATCTCCTTGGGTGAACTATAAATTTTCAACTTGAAGATACACCCCTACATGGCCCACCTATGGGGAAAAGGAGGAAATCAGGTTACCCTCACCATGGATGAGGTTCAAGGTTTAGTCCTAGGGCCAGGGATTCTCCTACAAACCCCAGTACTGCAACAGGCAGACTCACTGTGGGGGTGCAATGACTGCTGGACCAGGCAGGTGGTGGGATAATGCTCATGAGTTGCAATCTGTCATGCTAAGATCTGCTATCTAAAACATCTTGGATTGATCTTAGCCTGTAGGTCAGGATGGGCAGCCACCAAGTCTCGTTGGCACTAGAAGACTGATGAGCTCAGTGAGTTGCAGACCAGCTGGTGCACAACTCACCAACCTCCTTGTCACTGTAGCACTAAGCAGACTTGGAGCAAGGAGGATCCAGACAAACAGAACCAAGTGGTTGCTGTCTTTTGCCTGGTGCCCTGACAAGGCAGTTCTCTGAACAGGGACCAGATCATTCACCTTGGCAGGAAAAGGCAGTGCATTAACAAGAGGGACATTTGAGACATCATCTTTGGCTTGCAAGTCATCACCAGTGCTTGTGTAAGCCATGACATGGTAGAGCCCATGGACAAAACAAAGGGGTTGAAGCCATGGAGGTGGACCCACCAGTATCTCATACAGGCATATATTCTCACCCTCATGGTGCCCAGGCAAGAGGGCTGGTGATTCATGCGATTAATGTATTAAGGTCACTGTGCAACACCAGTAATCACTAGTGCTGGTCTGAGCCAGGGAGCAGAATGGCATCTGCCAACACACCCCCTTGGAAGAAGGCTCAGAGATGAGCAAAAACCCGCTCATGGGGAATATCTAAAAAAGCCTGGTCAGAGAATACTGGACTCTGCCATGTGTACATCTGAGAAATGTCTATAGATATGCACAGACATACTTAAATATATGTTAAGTGTGGCGGCAGACTGGTGGTATGCACTCTCATGCCATGTAACAAATGCCAGCTCCTGATCGCACCATTATGCAGGTTCCTGAACCTCCACAAAACTAACAACCCAGAAAATCCTAAGTATATTTTAAGTTGTTATGTTCATTTTTTCCCCTTTTTGGTATTTAATTGAAACCTGATTACATAGTGCCAAGTTTCTGAGAAAATGAAAAATACTCATAATAAGGCTGAAGCAGCTTCTTTTTTAATCTATGTAGTTCAGAGCTTCAAGCAACCTGATAGAGGTTAACGGTCTTCCTATGGGGAAAAAAATGTAGGAAACTTTTCTTGCAAAATGTATTTTGAAGTTAAGATTGCAATAAATCATCAATCAAAACATTCCTAAGCCTGTCATAGATTACAAAATAACAACCAGCTACTGGTATCATTTTGCTCAACAGCTTGCTGGGTTTTGGGGGTTTGGGTTTTTCTTGCTTTTAGATTCTTCATTCAAATCTGCTTCTTGAAACAAGACTCATTTCAAATCTCATTTTCAAGCCCAATAAAAAGAAAACCCAACACATTACAAACAGCACACAGCCACACTTGCTGTGTTTACAACAGTTCACACATTCAGCTTTTCAAAACCAGAATACCTCAGGGTGAGCTGCTTTCTTGCCTGCTTGTTTAACTGCTCAAATCAACTCAGTTTCTTGGGACTCGCAGGAAAACAGAAGAATTGTATGAAAACATTCTCCAGGCCTGACATACATTAGTCTAGGTTAAAATGCTCTACACAATTCAACTCTGTTAAACTGATTTTGCTAAATTCTGATAAACGGTTCACTGTTTTTCTGAGTACAACTTGCATCACCAAAACCAAATCAACTTTGAGTAATCCACCATGACAGCCAGTACTGTACTATCCCCGAATCTCAGACAGATACAAGGTCATTTACCTCAAGCTCCTTCCTTCTGCCCTCATCACATAACGTCCACTAAGCTCCACGAAAAGCCACCAGTAAGCTGCCCTCAGTTTTCCTGTGGTTTTCATCTGTTGACGACCATATCTGAGACACTGTTTTGAAGGCTAGAGGCAGAGATGTTCACACTGAATGTTTAATTGCAGAGCAACTAAGTAGTGGGCATTCTCGAGTCTCTGCAGGCATGTTCAGTAAGGATGCTGCCTGCTGCCTGGCTGGGGGTGGGAGTGGGGTGAGGGGGGCTCAGTGATGCTCCAGCAACAACAGGGAGGCTGCTGTGGTTGATAGCTCTTTGCAAGGAGCCTCGAGGACCGCACCCCTGGCAGGTCTGGAGTTACAGGAAACCCTGGAGAGACAGGGTCTGAGCTCCCCAGACAACCACAAAGGGGGAAAAGGGAGTACATAAGAAATACAAAACACAACACCTCCAGGAAAGAAAGTCTTCTTTATCTGAGGCCATTCTATGGGCGATGGTCTCCGCTATAGACTGTGGGACCTTCTCAAGTTTCCTGACAACTCCTGAGCTAGGCCAGAATGAGTTTTCTGGAGCTAAGTTGTGGATGGCTACAGAGCATGCTCCTCCCCTGCCTCAACCACGTGCACACAATATTTGATTCTAAACATAATTATTTTACAATTTTGTGCTGATGCAAAGCAAGGGGTCTCAGGTGTTTTTTTGGGACCCAGAACTCCAGTATAAGTTAAAGAGTATGAGAGGGTGATGGAGTGTCCCTCCACCAACTGTTCTGACCTGAAGAGGGAGCAGCCAGGAGGGACATGCCATAAGCTGGTGTAGTCTTGGTATGCAGCAGAAGTGTGTGTGTGTGCATGTGTGCATGAACTGCTGTGTGAACCCCAAGGCTCTCCCTTAAATTGCAATAGCCAACTTGAAGGAAAATGCAGCACTAAGGGAAGACAGTCTCAATCCATAAACTTATGAGCCCTGTTTTCTACTGTGATGCAACCACCCATCTTCAGAGGAAACAGGGAACCCTTCCCCAGCTTAAAGCCAATTAGACCACATGTAAAATCAAGACTTAAGAAAAAATGAGAAAATGCAGAAAATGGCTAAGAATTATATACCTCTGAGTCTGTGAAAAAGTTGTAAAGGAGTACATCATCAAATTCCAAGCCCTTTGCTTCATAAACTGTCAGTACAAGTGCTAAACTAAGTTCCTCGGGTATCTTCTCCTTTGCAGTTTCATTTGCCACTAATACCACCTGTCATAAAATAAATTAATAAAAAGAACGTATTAGGAAGCAAAAAAAAAAAAGGTAACAGTTGCATAGAGAAAGCATACAAACATGTCATGATAATGCAAGAGCCTTCTCAAAAACAGGCAACATGTAACTTGGACATTCCAGTACACTCCGCAAAAAAGGTCACAAAGCTGCCACTAGAAGACTGACAAATGCGTGGTATGTGCAGACAGCTGTAGATCTGGTGTAAGTAAATTTGGAGTTAGAGAGGAATGGGACAGGCAACACCTGATGCAAAAAAGAACAGAAAGAGCCAGACATGTATTAAGAAGAAACAGAAACCAACACAATAAAGGTTTCTAAGTTTAAAATGCATAATTTATCAGTGAGATACATGGGCTTAAAAAAGAAAGTTGTGGGCAGTCCATATAAAATGATGATTTAGAAATAGAGCTGGAAGAATCTGCAAAAAGCCATATACCCAAGAAAAACAAACCTGATGCGCTCCAAATTCAATGGGCTGTGTTTTCCTTTTGTTGCCCCTCAGCAGAATTGCTAGGTCACTAACACTGCAGGACTCCAAGACCGTAGGTTTCGGTCCATCAAAGAGACCGCAGTCCTTAGGAAGCCGATCAAAAGATTCTGGGAAATAATGCTGAAGCAAATCAACCACTCCAGATGCTAAACGGAGAATACCTGTAATAAGCAGAACAGAGACTTTAAACTTCAGTCTGACTGTCTCATACACTCTCACAAACACACTTTTAAAAGATTTTCTTAGAATGTTGAAATCGAGAAATATCATGACAAAAACACTAATCAAGAGAAGAGAGAAGCTGTAAGGTCCACTTTGTTTCTGCCGTTTTGAGTGGCCTCATTCTTGGGCCTGGAAAGACCAAAAGCATGCTACAAAGGCTTAGCAGTATCCTCACAAAACAAAGGTCATAAATAAGAAAAGCAGAAGTAGCACACCAAATGCTGCAAAGTCTAGCAATTTAGGGATGGGACAAGAGAAATGGGTACAATTATTTCAGTTTTCCTTCAAACAAATACCATCAAAACATGCAGCAAGCATGAGTGTTCAAAAAATGACAATTTAAAAAATGTTCATTCTGGGTTTTCCAGTTGAGCTGTCAAAATACAGAATTTGCATGTCAGAAAAAGCTGACCATCTGATCTCTTAAAAAAATAGGCCGCTTAAAGATGCTTTGAATTGGCCAGTAGAAAACTTCAATCATTAGTGATATCTGAAGAGCCCAGACACAGATCATAAATAAATTTGTTACTCTACCTGAATGGGACCTGTAGTTCTGGTACAACTGATATATCCTTTTTGGTTTTCTAACACGCTGCTTCTTGTTCATGGAGTTCTTGCTTGCGTAATGAAACAGTGACCTCAGATCACTAAAACGAAAAGCAACTCCTTTCATTATGCTCTGGGCAGTGTCACCAGTTAGAAACATGGCATTAGGATCATTGATGCATTTCATTAACAGTGCTAGCTCAGCTTGGGTGAAATCCTGTATCTCGTCACCATAAAACTCATGGATGGACCATGGCAGCTCCCTGAGCTTTAAGAGTCTTTGAGATAAATTATACAGCAAATCTTCTTCATCGAAGTAACCTCTCTGTGATCGTATCTGTTGATAAAGACAAAAGAGGTGATAGATTTCACTCCTGTCTTCTGTGAAGTTCGGTGATCTCTTTCGGCCTAGCTTTTTGTACTGCTCCTCAGTAAGTTTACCTCCAGAGCAACTCAGTGCCTCAAAAGAGCCTTTCAGAAATGATTTTATTTCTTTCCAAACCAGTGCTGGATTGTACAAGCTTTTACCTTTTATCATTTTTGGCCATATTTCATTTGCAAATACATCGTAAGTCACAAAAGTCCGAGGATCACTTTCCCTAGAGTACACATCTGCAGCTCCTTCATCATCACCATGTTCTGCTTCAAAATTACTTTCTTCATCCTCATCTTGCCAATTTGGTACAACCAAGTCTTCCCGAGGACTCCAACCAACAATGATTCTTTTAAGGCTTCCATCCTCGTTTCTTGGAAAAAATGGGTCAGGCATGGATGCATCCAGTAACAGCAATAACTGCTTGGAGGTGACAAACAGAGGAAAATTTTCATCTTTAATGTCTTGTAGCTTGTGAACATTTGGATCCAGAGGCTTGAAGTGACTGGTTACCTTGGAAGACTTGCTAAGTTCAATGAAATTTTTCTGAACTTCCTGGCACAAGACGGGATTTTTTGTCACAAAGATCTGGTGCAGGTTCTCCAGCCTGTTCAATGCTTCCGCACTATACATTTCGTCTTCTTCATGGTCATCACATGAATTCATTTCTGCACCAGCTGTGCCTGCAGGAAAATTTTCATCCTCGCTGTCCCGGTCTTGCTCGTCGCTCATCTGTTCCTCACTTGAATCATCACTGTCCTGTTTTAGTTCTCTCTCTTCCTTCTCTAACCCAGCTTTTTCAACCTCACTGCACTGTCTTTGCTGCCACGTTTGCCTCTCCAGCAGAGGACCATTTGCCAAGGTGGATTTTTCCCAGTACGAATAGAATTTCTTCCAAAGCCTATACAAGCAGCAAGTCGTCTTTCCTGTCCCGCTTCGCCCTATTAAAATGATTGGTTCCATGGGCTTTGGATTGAGATCAATTACTGCGTACTCCAACTCCCCAACCCTGAAAGGGTATTCAACAGAAGAATGTACATCATTTATAATGTTAAGTGCCATGTTAGTACTGAAGCTGTGAAATTTCATTATATTGTATTCCAACTCTGCTGCACTGGCTGGAGGGAAATACTCAGGTATGGTATGTTCTTTTGACTTTTCTGCCTCTGGGTCTTCAACATAACAACGTGGAACACGCTTCTGTGTTGTCACATTGTGGTTCTGACGTCCTTCATTTATGCCCTTGAGCTTTTTCCTCAAGATGCAGGATAAACCACGATTGTAGGAAATACATATATTATCTAAGACACGGTTCAGCTTGCAGTGGTCAAGAACAATGGCCCAAATTCTGATTATTTCCGTGTAAACTCTACCAGATTTTTCTGGAAGACATTTTCTCTGTTCTGTCTCCATGATCTTTTCCGCACTCTCGCTGCAACGAGGAGAAAAGTCAATTGCAAGTTCCCATAGCATTCTTGCACCTTTGCCCAACTTGGCTTCATACAGCTGGATATCAGCTTTCAAGTGTTTCAGTGGCTTCTGAAGGCCCCTAGTCCATTCCCCATTGCCAAGTTGCTTAATTGTCATTATAGTTTTAGTTTTCAGATAATGAGGCACAGCTTTGCTGCCCAACGTCTTCAGCATTTCAGGAGTGCACTCTATTTCCCAGGTCATATTATCAAACTCCTGCACATATGCCTCAATATCCGGAATCTTCCCCTTCTCTTCCTCTGGTTCTTCCTTCTCTCCATCAGGCAGGTCCATACTAAATTCCCCTGCTCCCTTCTTTTTCTCCCAATCACCTCCATTTCCTTCAGGATAAGCTATGCTTCCACAAGGTTGCAAGGACTCACTTCTTCCCTCTTCCAAATTAGTCTTGGCTGAAGATGGCTTTTGTACCAGAGGATGATCCTTTCTCAGGGTGTCACCCAATTTTAATTGCTGAATTAAAGCTGTGATTGCCTGCACTAGACTTTCCTGCAGCGTTAAGGGGCTATTTATTCCTTCTGTTTCCTGCTTTGCCAACTGATCTTTTTTTGTCTTTACAGAACACGGGGTTTTTAAATCATTATGCACTGCACTGCCAGATGGTGCCTTTAATGAGGACCCAGATGAAGAACGCCCTGTGCTCTTTGGCTGTGAAATCTCAGAGGCTGGAATGGGCTTAGATGTTTTAACTGACTGCCCTGCTATATCCTGCCGGTACTTCTTTTTCTCCAGTGTAGCATTATTCCAGGCAAGTAGCAGTGGGTCATTTTTTTTAATTCTATGCCTCACATCTCTTCCTAATTTGTTTTTTATATTAAAGTTAACATCAAATTTTGCCAATGACTCCATTATTCTCTTAGCCTGTTTTGAAAATCCTCTCTGAAAAACAACATGCATCACTGTATTTCCATTGTCATCTTGTATGTTTGGATTAAGATATGGAAAGTCAGAAGGTCTTGAAGCAAAGAGGTCAAGCAGATAGTTCAGGATGTTTAAACCAGTGCCATCTGAAAGCAAGAGAACAAATAAAAAATTAAAAAAAAAAAACCAAAGCCCAACAAAAAACCACAAAACACTTGATTTACAAGGCTGCTTTGTAGGCCAACAATTTTTGATACTTTTTTTCTGCAGCTATTAAATTAAAATCAATTTATTTTCAAAAGAAAAGAATCTACATTTCATGTTTGTAAAACATGCTTATTTGGAATGGCTCAAAACTGAACTTTTCTAATATTCAGGGAAAACAATACAATGGCAGAAAAGCTTTAGAAATCCCTAGTGTTGCAATTGTTCCTATAGCATCGGTCAATTTTTAACCTCTGGGTGCAGACAGATTCTTTCATCTTCCAACATCAGCCCCGACTGCGACCCAAAGTAGGCTGATGACTGGTTATCTGGACAAGCAGCAGCTCTGGGCACTGCTCTGGGGTCATTTCATTCCTTTTAATATGCCACCCAGAAGTAATCTGCTGCAGATGACTCTGATTTACTAAAATAACCTGTGGCAAATCTCAACTATTTCCTGATATCTGAGGTCCCTAGAGCAACCTCCTACAAAATAAGATTAGTCCAATACCACTCTGGGGAGAAAAAAAGGAAAGAGATATTCTACAGCTTTCTGGATTTAATCCAGATAATGTATGTGATTTAAACCAGATAATATATGTGAAACATTTCTTTCCTAACTGTAAAATAGTGACACAACAAAATAACTGTAAAGAAATTCCACCTCAAAAACTTTACACAGTGAAAAACACTTAAGAGAAGATACTGTCATTGGACTTCTTAATCTTTTCATTTAAAATTTACAACTGGCAGTATCTATGCTTTTAATCTCTCTAAAGCTACTGAATGAAATGTTTCTGCTTTAAAAATAAATAAATTCAGTATTTTTAATTATTTTAATCCTTCAACTCAAAAATGCATTTTCCTTAATTTAAAATCAAACCTGACTTTGAGGCTTAGTTTGACAGTTTATCTTAATTTCTTACATTTTTACGTAAGCCCTACAGTCCTCTCTTACTCCTCCTCTGAACAAAACTTTGCTTGATTTACAACTGAACAAAAACTGGGAAACAGATTTCAGGTGTCATTGTAGGATTTCCTTCAAACTCTGCTGCCATTGCTCTGCCTTTACCTTTGTTTCTTCCTAGATCCTTCCTATTTACTTCATTCCTACCTAGTATGCATTTTACCAGGTTTCAAAGAGGAGCCTTCCTTTCTACATCAGCTTGATTAAACAAGAATATATTCACAAAACAGTAACATTACAGCTGCTTGGGTCCCTCTGGTCACCTGAGCTGCCATTAACTCTCCTCATAGTTCCAGCCACTGCAACCAGAAAGCAGAACACACCAGCTCAACAAAGACCAGTGCGTATCCTCTGGCCTGCAAACTTTGGGCGCTGAGACACAGTCAGACATCCAGATCTGCTGCCTCTGCTACCGTATCAGTAAACAGCAGCAGAAGGGGCAGTGGGCTGGGCAGGTAAGAAATGGGATGTTTTCAACAGCTGCTGTGAAATCACATTATGCACATATGCTGGAGCTCTCTGTGTCCCCTAGGCCTGGGCACACACAAGCCTTACCTCTATTATTTAAACAGATGGAAACTGCAGCATGCAAAGGAGTATCTCCTTGTGCAATGGAGACATTTTGAGGATCTGCACCTTTGGTCAGCAGCAAATACACTAGTTCAAAATAATTCTTTTTGAGGCATATTTGCAGTGGTATTTCAGAGTTGGTTCCAATCCCATCTGGCAGAGCTGGTGTGAAGGACATGAAAATATCAGGGGTTAAATCTAATGGGCCAGATCTGAAAACTACAGAAAGTTCTAAACAGACAAAGGTACATGCTGACTGCTGAGCAGGTGGCTTTTTTTCTTTTTTGTCAGCTTTTTACATGTATCTGTTAAAGAATTTTTGACTAAGAAAATCTTCAGAATCTCCTCTTATCTCCTATTAAGCTGAGCAACCAGTCCTCCGGTTGTGATAGGAAGACAGAAAGGCCTGAACATATCTGCTTCAAGTCAGTCAGTCACTGACCAAAACAAGAAGCCTCCTTGCACCTCTGGCACTCACAAGGCTGCAGCAGGACTGTGTGTCCATAATTTATAGCTAACATCAAGTTATAAGATGAAATGAAAAATGCCAGAGTAATCCTAGGAATAAACCTCATGCAAAACAAGAAAAATTATGATGTCTGCACTAAAAAAAGAAACACATCTGGTCATGCCTTTGTAGTCAATTACTTGTAACGTAACAACAGACTGAACCCAAAGACTGTGGCTTCAGTTTCTATCAGGATTAATATTGTGGCTGAATACAGAGAAATCAAAAAACAAAGAAACTATAAGCAAAGGAGCAACAATAATCTTTGGCCTTTTACCAACCCTGACAGCCAAATTTAATTTGAAAAACATCTTCCATCCCATGCAGCCTTATTAGCTTCCCCATGTCGCACACAGCAGATACAGCCAATGAACTGCACTCCAACAAGCGGCCGTGCTTACACAGAGCCACAAAACACGTGTCAGTATTTCTGAAACTATGTTGCTCCAAACATGCCAAATAAAATACCAGATCTTTTATAACACATTAATATTGCACTGTTTTTCACCTCCTCGTTCAATCAAGCATCTTATGAGGTGCACTTGCTTATCCGATCTGTCACACTGTTGGATAACGTTGCCGATGTCAACATCTGAAAGACTGCAGTTTTTGAAGAGTCCTCCACCTGACGGCTTTTCCCCACTGGCTTTCCCTGTTAGCAGCAGCAAAACTTTATGCCACATTTGCTTCTCCAGCAACTGTTTTATGAAGCTGTTAGCGCAGGCATGAGAGATGTTACAAACCACCCCTTCAGGGATTTCTGCAAGACAGTCAAGACAATGTAACTCACTCAAAGCCACATAATAAAATCCATCTCACTGTAAACTAATTTCAGAATAACGAACGCAATAAATTCAAAGTACAGAGCAGCAAAATGCAACACTTGCATCTTTCCATCCTTATGCCGACAGCCAAGTAAGTTTGAACATTTTGACTCATCATACTGAATTTTTGTGCATATTCCGGTCGTTCTAAGTTCAAAACACAACAGCAAAAATAAGTAAAAGCACGTTGTTCCAGTAATATCAGTTGCAGAAACAGGGAAGAGAAGGAAGGGTAAAAGAGCAAAAACTGCATGTTAGCATCAAACACATTTTTCATAGCAATTAAGTTTTGTGAAGGGGAGAAATGGCAACTCACTGTACCTTTCACAGAAGATAGCAGTTTCAGAAATCGCTTAACTGCATCTTCCTTCAAGACATTTTTATGATATGCTCCATTTTCAAACTTGTAGAACTGGACAAACTGTTCAAGAACATCCAGGAGAGAATCTGTATCAGCTATGGCTCTGCTTTCATTCCCCCCTGCAAAACATTACAGAAACTGAAAATCCAGTCCCTTGGTGGCATGTTTTCAGGTCAAGACTTTAATACATTGCATCTCAGGGCTCCAAGAAATGTGTAGTGGCAGGTTAAAATCAGATGGCTGAAACTCTTACTGCCAAAGCCAATCCTGTGATGGATTTCATATCCCAAAGGATATTTGATACACTCATCAAACACATTCTTTACCATAATACACTAGATTGAAAATTGTAATAGTTCACAAGTTGATCTGCATGCAGGCAGGACACTGCTGCCTTGTAGTGATATCACCATTCAGAATTTTTAGAGTAGATGACTAAACCCAGTAATGTTTTCAGCATACAGTTTTAATCAGATGTCCTGAGCTTGTCTGATTCCTCAGTGCCATTTAAGAAATACAGCCATAAAATAATTTGTCCTCTTAAAAGAAAAAAACAAAACCATAAAAACCCAACACACCAAAATGATACCTACAAGTTTAAGAGATACTTAGGTAATGGGCAATGGCAGATTTTAAATTATGTCCCCATAAATGCCCTTAAATGAAAATTGAAAGACTTGGCCTGACTCCTAAAAGCTTTGAAGAATTCAAGTATGTCAAAGGCCAAATAAAACAGTAGCTTTACCTCTTAGGACAAAGAGACAGACAAGGCTGGTCATCTTTTTAGCAACAAGGATTAACCTCAGACTGTTACCTGTAAAGCAGTCGCTTATTCTCCAACCTCTCATTTTGCACCAAGCCTAGAAAACTCTTGCAGGCTGTGCATTGCAAAAAAAAAAAAAAAAAAAAAAAAATTGACCATAAAAGACAGGCTGAGCTACCTAGAACACCAACCAAAGCAATTACAGCCACAGGGGTATTGGTGTTAACATCCTAACTGAGAACCACTGGGCTAAAACCTTCTCCAGGGCAGAGATCTCTACAGTAAAGGAAGAGAAACTGTGGGAATATGCTTGCCAGGAGCCATAAGGTGCAAGTGCAATGAAACCCAGTGCTTTCCAGTAAACTTACATGCAATACACACACGAAAACAGAGATGTAGCCTAAAAACTTTGCTTTTTGCCAAGTTTGGTCTACCTGTGCAGTCTTTTGCTCCATCCATGCTTTGAGATTTGAATGACACTAGCAAGTTCTGGTTTAAAAAGGTTATGTTTTGGGCTAATACACTAATGCTAATACAGGTGTTACCTTAAAGTTCTGGCTGGTTAGTGCCACGGAAAACAAGAAGATCAGGCACCAAGCCATCTCAGAAAGACTGTACTGAAGAAATGCTTTCAAGATGAACAATGTCCATGCTTGGGACTTATTTTTAAACAGCAGTCTAAACCATGGCTTGAAAAGATCAGCTGCAGGATCTACCTCCTCAGTTTGTGAACCTCAAAGTCCTGCAGGAGCATCTTGCCTCACCGGCCAATCCGTCAGTTCTCATGTGGATACTCCCAAGAGCTTCTCCGAATGACCTCCTATGACTGGATCCTCTGCTGGAAATGTCTGTGGCCCACTACAGTCTCTTTCAGAGCTAGGATATAAGTAGCAACTGTAGTGCCATACTGCCAAGAAAGTGCATCCTACAGGGACCCTCCCAGTCCTGAGGGTAGACAGCTCCCCATCTCCTGCCACAACTAGCATTTCTCTGACCATACTGCAGTTCAGGCAGCTCAGGCTCGCTCCATTTGTTAGGGCAGACAAAAAAACTATATAAGGATTAGCCAGTCTTGATACTGTCACACTGGGGTGGTATTGTACAATTTTTATGTTTTCTCATTCTCATTTATTGGCATGGAAGAGGAAATTCCCATTATTTGGGCAAACACACTTAATACAGTAGTTTCCAGAATGGAAAATTATAAAAAAACAGACAAGTCAGAACCCTTTTCAGAACTGACAGGCTATTATAAAAAAGCAGACTGGAAACCAGTTTATCACCCCAGTTCATGAAATTTCATATTAGCACTGGGACAATTAAGATTTGTGCCTTTCTGTATCACAACAGGTCATTTGCAAACTGCCTAGAAATATCATTCATAATTTTTAAAATGCACTTCGATGTTTCCCCATATTTCAAGAGTGGAACTAAATTTTAGCTCCTCTATTTTGGTTATGAGAGGCTCTCATAGCTTTAGTTTGACAGTCTGCTCTGCTACTCTTTTCCCTTAACATATGCAGAAGTTAAAATTTTCCAAGTAATACAGAAGTTTTAGCTGCTTATTACCGACATAGATCAAAGATGGCTAAAACTTTGTGAACAAAGAGCTCTTACTAAAAAGTTATTTTGTTTTTTAAAAATGTCAGCAACTTTTCACTTACATTTTCACCATTTCAGAGCTTCTCTTTTTTTGTCAAAATTTTTTGGTATTAAAAGCATTTTAAATGTGCCACCAATATTTTAACAAAATGTTTCATTTTCCAAAAAATAGAGTGAAGGTAAAAAGTTAAAACTGAAAAAGCATCAAAAAGAAGCAGTTTCTATGGAAGGGGGAGCCTCATGTTAAGGGTGAGAAAGAAAACAGTGGCTTAGAGTAACTTAGAGCAACTTGTAGTTACTTATTGCATGATATACTAAGAACATCAGTTGGACAGCAGTCACCTTCAGGCAGGGATAAAACGTTCATCATTGACTGGCAGGAGATCAAGGTGACAATACGTAGCAAAAGTTACATAAAAAAACACCTACTACTACCAATTACAAATAAAACAATTTTGTATCTAAAGGATAAAATTTTAAAACAGGAAAAGCACACAACCCATGTAGTACCTGTCCATTTCTCAGGGGAAGGGTGTTTCTCAATGTGATTGCTGACTGCTTTTACAGCATCGAAGTTTTTGTTCTTTTTCAAGATATCTATGACATATCTTGACCGCACATCTGGAACAGTGGGATCAACCCCAAAATTCAGGAGCATGATCACATCTTCTGTTTGGCCTAAAACATTACATGAATAAACATTAGAGGAAGAATAATTCTCATTGTTCAGGGGTTTATGTTCTGTTTTCCTTTGTATTTTTTACTTCCTGGCACAATTTCTAGCATCATTTTAATTAAAAAAAAAAATCTAAATTTTTCAGCATCATAAGAATGAGGTATTGTTAGGTATTTTTCCCCAAAAGAAACCCCTTCAAAAAATTTAAAAGTCTATCTTCATTATTATTAACTGGGAAATGGGAGCACAGAAACACAAAGTGACTGGGTGCCTCATGAACATCTCACCGGCCAGAGGCAGTATGTGGAATTCACCTCCTCCCTTATGCCCCAGCCCTGTTCTCCAGGCTCTAGGCAAACTGCTCTGTACATAAAGAAAAACAAAACAAGGGATTTTGCTACTGTTTGGAAGGTGACTCAATAAACCAAAATATTTCACATATTCAGGCATGAATATACACAGCTATGCACTGAGTTTCTTTCCTATGCAACATAGAACACATGACTTTCTTGGTAATAAGCCTTATAATAAAGATACCTAGTTTGACTAATGGTAGGTACCATTGCCTTCAACAGAAACTACTATCCTCTAAAGCATTTCAAAAGTATTACAGATTATGCACAAACACAATAAATATAATAGTGATTTAAAGCCTTGACACAGTATCTAATATTCTGGAAGAGGACACACTCACTTCTTAGTATGTCACACTGTGCTACTAGGGGAAACTTTACAGCCCTGCAAGCAGCTGCCTGTACTCCCCTTGCCTCAAAGAGGCACATTTGCTATAAGCCATGCCCTCAGAACAGCTGGGAGAGCGCAGGAGCACCAAACCACCACGTCATGCAGGAGAAGCCTGAGCGATGGCAAGCCAGTTAAGTGTCAGACCACCACCCATCCCCTAGGCACACCGCTGCAGCACACAGCCTCTGTTACTGCATGTGCCAAAGGCAAAACCTAGATGAGGAAAAAATCATGCAGGCTAACACAAGTGCCTTGCTTTGTTTGTCTAAGCCTTACCATTCAAGCTGCTTTAGGGATTATTTTTTGTTAACAGATGGGTGCAAGGGTTTATTTTTATATGTACATTTTTATATATTTATAAATGTACTGTATAGTTTTTATATATATACACACTAAATATAAACAAATGAACTTTAATAAATACATATAAAAATATATAGCATATATACAATATATATGCTATATAAATATAATTATACATAAATAAACTTATATATATATACACATACACACACACACATACACGGTCTCTCCTGGAAATGCAGGAGTCATTTAGCAACAGATGGAACTGCTGCGAAAGATGTATTACACCTTTCCAGAAAATGAAATTATTTAGCTATAGATTGTGCACATTTCATTCATAGTATTGAAGAGAACCACCAGAATGTCATCGCATTTAACGACCTAGAAGTCTGGTGTTACCTTGGCATTGATGCTTATTTCTTTTTGCCACCTAGTGGGCAGAGTAAGAAATACAAGAAAAAAAGCCAGGCTAAGTTAACATTAGAGAAATCCCACAGAAAACGTGAAGGAAAGCATTTCATTTTCCTCCTCTGACAAAGTATGCTGCTACTTAGGTTTTAAATCTTCACCTATTTAAAAAAACAGGATAGGTCTCCAGGTGGCCTACTATGATTTTAAGGGCACATCAAACTTTAAAAGGTAATTTCTATGACTCTAAAAACTGCAGCATACTTGTCGGAAAATTGTAACCAGTCAAACCAAAGAGCAAAGAAAATGGTCACAAATCAGGTATACAACTTTAAATGAGAATTGTTGAAACGTTGAAATATTAGTTACCATTACAAAGTCTACATTCAGGTAAAAGGACTTTCTCATCTTCTTCCTTTGCATGAAATAGTAAACACCAGGGGCTGAAATCTTCTTTCATTATTAATTTTTATATGAAAACAAAACAACACACACACACAAAAAAAAAAACCCCAACAAACCCAAAAACTTATATTTACTGCGTTTCTGGGAATATTCACTGGAAGATGCCACAATATGCAGGAGGGTACACCCATCTCTGTCTTGCTGGTTGAGCCTATCCTTCAAGTCTGGCCTCTGAGTCAGTAACCACCTGAAGAGATGGTTCTTTCCTGGAATGATAAACACCCCCCACTTGTTATAAATGGTAAACAGATACAACAGAAACAGATGCTGGTTTTTTCCCCTATGGAGTGGCAAGATGCATCTGTATAAAACCTTTTCTCAAAGACATGGAGTAGGAGAGGGAAGAAATATGTGAAAGAAATCATGGTAAGAGCCAGCTGCATTGTGGGAGACATGATCCTACGTTCTCTCTGACTCGCAGCAAGTGCAAATCTGAAGTTGACTCACAACTCTTTGGCACATATAGAAACTGTTGCTCCACACTGAGGTGGCAGGAAGAAATACTGTATTTTTGTCAAGGCTGATATATTCAGGTTACGAAAGACCCACATCAATCACACTTTCGCTTCAAACCATGGAAGAGAACAACCAGATTAGGTTTGTACCACTTTTAATATAGTGCCTTATTGGCACATGCAAGGTTATACCCAGATGATCTGATCTCATTAGTTTTAAAAAAAAATAAATTTAAAAATCCTCTAGCTGTCAGTTCTCTGATGAAGGCCACCACTGTATTATTGTAGCTGCAGACGTCACTCACTTGCTTTGATACACAGTCTGATAACAGCATGAAGCGGATACACTCCAATGGTTTCAACTTTTGCCCCAATGGAAATTAGCCACTTGACTAACTCCGCTACTTCTTGCATCTTCTCGCCATGCCCATACAACTCAGAAGTCTGATAACAAAGAGAACAATTACAACACATTATTTTTACATACACAAAAGGCATTTATTTTTTAATCCTATTTCCATGCTTTTTATGACAAGAATCAGTGGAACAGTAACAATCAAGCCATATCCACTATAAAATGAAACATTTCTTATATATGTAACAATTCCAGTAGAAGCTCAAAACAAACACTCTTCTCTTATGAGATGTTCAAGAATCTTAAAAGAATCTTGTCCTACTCTGAAGAGCACTGAACCTAAAATCTATTTTATAATATGTTTTTCTATATTTCTTCTCTAATTGACTGCAACTTTCTGCCTGATGCTTGTCTATTAAATGTTACTGTATTTAGTGCTGGATATTGTGCCTTTTAAGCTTGGATGAGGCAGCTTATGCAGGCAGTTACCCCAAAGCAAGAAAAGACTAGAGAAAATACTTGAAATTGGGAAAAGGGAGTTAAAGACTGAGGGAAGGAGGTTTAGGGAACTCAGGTAACCAAGCCCTACTCTCATCCAGCTCAGGAAGCATCTGGCATTAAGATGATAAGATGACTGCTCACACAAAGAAAAGGTGTTAAGCCTTAGGAGACAGATTTTTGGCCAAATAAATTCCTAGGTGGTTATCTGATGAAAGTATGGAATTTACAGGGGAGTTCACAGACCAAGACTGAAAGCACACAGCCTGAGCAGAAGGTAGCTGAACTGAAAAAGGATGTTCTAGCAAGGACTTAACATGAAGCACAGTCTACAAGAGGTACAGTAAAGTGGGGAACTCTGGAGGTGGGCAGAGGAAGCTCAGATGGAAATTGAGACAATATGCCAGAAGGATCAGGACATGAGGGGGTGGTCGGAAACAGTGCTCAGACATAATTTCTCCATTTGTGCCAGTCATCTTTTTAAATAGCAGTATTCACACATGCTTCCAACATCCACAAATAAGTCTTTTTTTCTAACACCCCATGCCAAATTTTGACTGGCAAGAATTACTGTTTGCGCAGTTACAAAATCAAAATACAACAAATTACAGGGAGAATGTAGTGGCAGCAGGGGAAGTTCGAGTTGTCAGAAAGCCACATTTTCTAATTTTTGCAAAAGAGAAGCAGCACTTAGGGATCTTTCATCTTGATTCTTTCAGTCTTCCACATGTACAACAAACCCACTAGAATAGCTAAGACTGGTGGGGTCAATTCAACAATGAAGGACATACTATTTTGCAAAGGCAACCCACTTTTATACTCCTCTCTCAATGAGGCATTTTGATTTGTTTGCCTAGGAAGGAAGATTTTTTGCTAAGACACCCTACATGTGTCCTCTACTGCGTTGCCATGCTTTACTGTCAGTGTGAGGAGCACGTTGACCCCTTGCAGGACTGCTTTGTTGCTGTGCCCCAGGCCAGGCTGCTGCTAACCACATGCAAACCATGGCAGTGGCAGTGGGCACCTTCGCTTGGGAGCTGCTTTAAACTGAGGCTCTTTTTCCTTTTTCCACACCACAGTTATGCTGCCCTAGCACCACAGCCATGTCACCGCCTGGCCATGGGCCTGGCTGATCTAGGACTGAACCCTGACCCACCCTCCCCTCCCGCAAAAAACTAAGCAAACACACAAGGGATGATGGTAGGTAGCATAAAGTTCCATATGGGCTACTCTGCTGGCACTAACACAGCATACCTGCCTAATGATAGCTAACCAAGGCATGCTTGCATATATTCATCCACTAATTGTTCTGCTATCACTATAAACAAGCCTATGAATAGATGTCAGTTCATTTCCTTTGCATTATCCTTTTTCAGAATTATTCCCCTCACTCTGTCAGGCACCTAACCATAATACATTTATGGAAAAAGCCCCAACTTGAAATTATTATGACAAAAGTACCACAAGCACTGCAGCAGCCAAATGGTGAATTCTGGCATATTCCATCAATATGCCCTAAACTGTCAATTTGCCAGCCAGTAAATCCCAAGCAAATGTACTGTGTAGCCTACATTTAACATCTTCTAAAGCTTCCGTCAGGAAAATCACAGTGCTGTAAGAAATCCAGTATACTTCAGCATAAAGCCTAATGAAATTTCTCAATGAATGTATAACTGTATCTTTTAAAAGTAGGTTACATACAGCAGACCTACAGTTAATTAACTTACACACACAAAGAAATGGAAGAATAAAACTGAAAAAATGTACACAGAGAAGAATTTTTTAATGATCCATAAGAAATGCTTTACTTAACTGCAGTTGAAACAGGCTGGGCATCCACTGTGGGGTGACACATACATTGTGAGATGCCTTTAGAAAGTTGGTATGTTACTGCTACAGACACCGGCTGCTCCTGAGTTGCAGAGCTGGTGAACTTCCAGCAGCTCCTGGCTCACAGACAGCCTCCAGCTACACCCTGGTTCCCATGGGGCCAGAGGCAATGGCTGCACACCCCTTCATGCATTCAGAGCATTTTGGTGGGATACCCATGCACAAAGGCAGGGGTTAGCAGCAGCAAGCCCTACAAGGCCACCTAGCTCACACAGCGATGTGGGCAGCGCCTCTGGGCTGTACCAGTGCGTACGGCACGGCACATGCACCAGGCAGGCACAGCCAATCAGCAGCCAAGTATCAGTGAGCATGGCAGTTTCTGACAGCTGGAAGATTTTCTTTTATCCTGCCAGCATAGAAAGCTCTGGAGGTTCCCAAATGCTGCAGAACACAAGGAATCACAAGATAAAGAAAAGAGCAAGTTTCAGAAAAGCAACATAAGGATCAAATTCTGCTGCCTGCAGATGCCATCATCTCAGTGATAGGCATTAGGAATTGTGGCTACTTGGTCTACGACTACGTGTTTCCATCTTGCCAAAATCCTCTAAGTCATTTGGAAAGCATCAAAGCCTTTAGGGAGAAAGTTTAGCAGTTGCTGCCTAGATATAAAGCAACCTACCAAAAATTTGAGGCATTGAGGGAAGGGAAAATTTCAACACTGCTCCCACCTCAACTCCCTGTAGTAATACTCAGCACCATGAAGCAGTCAACAGACAGGCTAGCAAAGTGTAATAATATCCTATCCCCAGGGATATCATAAATTGTCCTGGCTGGAAAACATATCCAACTTAACTGATGCCAGACATTTTTCTACATTAAATTCTCAGGTTCCAAGCATGACATGAATAGCTTGCTGTACTTGAGAGGAAGATGACTTCTTTTGATCAAATTACAGGAAACATTACATTACATACAGAAGTTACGCAAATTAAAGATTTTTTTAACGTTCAAATGAAAAGGGAAAAAATAGATGATTTAACATAATCATACAAAGTCCATGTATTATTTTCCATTTTGTTTTTCTTCAGTCTGTTTTGGCTTTGCACACAAGATGGAAAATCTCTCACTAAACTCAACAGGAAGAAAAGAAATAGAGACAGGAAAAAAAAAAAAAGGATGCTACTTTACCTCAAAGAGATTCTTCAGTGATAACTGGTTGACTCTGAGATTGGTGGGCAACTCTTTCTTCTCTGACAACAACAACAGACAAGACTGGAAAAAACCCAAACCATTAGTGACCTTATAAGCACACTTAGAAACTTTGTTTTTCACTGACTCATCAGATCTTGCAGGAAAGCAAATGAGGGCTAACAATATTTCAGATTTTTTTTTTTAAGATTGTAACAGATTACTGAATCTCCCTTTCCATTTTTCAACTGAATTAACATAATACACAGTGGACTGTGGGAAGCTATAACTTATGAAAGCTTCCTCAGAAATAAAAACCATGTAGAAAGGTCAGGCTCTGAAATTCTCTCCCATACACCTTGTAAGTGGCCCTTCACTTTAGGAGTGGACCTTTACATTCATGGGGATGAGACCCCCCCAGCTACACCAACATCCTGAGCACAAAGCAAGAAATGCATACTGTACCTTTTCCCATTTTCTCAGTTTCCCTAAGAACTTTACCTTGCTCCTTAAAAACCCACCTAGCTTCATCAGAGGACAAAGGAAGAACTACAGATGTCATCTACCTGGACTTCTAGAAGGCCTTTGAAACAGTCCCCCACAACATTCTTAGCTCTAAATTGGAGAGACATGGGTTTGATGGATGTACTGTTGGATGGATAAGGAATTGGCTGGATGGCTGCCTCCAAAGAGTTATAGTCAATGGTTCAATGTCCAAGTGGACACCAGCAACGAGTGGTGTCCCTCAAAGGTCTGTACTGGGACCAGTACTATTTAGTATCTTCATCAATGACAGACAGTGGGATTGCGTGGTGCACTCAATCACTCAGCAAGTTTGCAGATGACAGCAAGCTGAGTGATGAAGTTGATACACTTCAGGGAAGGGATGCCATCCAGAGGGACCTTGACAGGCTTGAGGAGCAGGCCCATGAAGTTCAACAAGGCCAAGTGCAAGATCCTGCACCTGGATCTGGGCAACCCACAGTATCCATACAGGCTGGGGGATGACGGGATTGATAGCAGCGCTGAGGAAAAGGACTTGGGGGTACTGGTGGATGAAAAGCTCAACATGAGCCGGCAATGGGCGCTCACAGCCCAGAACGCCAACCATATCCTGGGCTGCATCAAAAGGATTGTGGCCAGCAGGTTGAGGGAGGTGATTCTCCCTCTCTACTCCGCTCTCGTGAGACCCAACCTGCAGTACTGCGTTCAGCTTTCGGGTCCCCAGCACAGGAAAGACATGGAACTGTTGGAGCGGGTCCAGAGAGGGGCCACAAAAATGATCAGAGGGATGGAATACCTCTCCTATGAAGAAAGGCTAAGAGAGTCGGGGCTGTTCAGCCTAGAGAAGGTTCCAGGGAGACCTTATTGCAGCCTTTCAATACTTAAAGGGGGCTTATAAGAAAGACTTTTTAACAATGCCTGTAGTGACAGGACAAGGAGCAACAGTTTTAACCTGAAAGAGGGTAGGTTTAAATTGGACATAAAGAAGAAATTTTTTTACAATAAGGTTGGTGATACACTGGAACAGGTTGCCCAGACAAGATGTGGATGCCTCATTATTGGAAGTGTTCAAATGAAGTCAGGGTGGATGGGGCTTTAAGCAACCTGATCTAGTGAAAGATGTCCCTGCGCACAGTAGAGGGGTTGGATGGGGAATGTGGGACTGCAGTCAGTCCATAGCAGTCCCTCTGTCACTCCCTCTTCCTTATGCTTCTCTCCTGCTCCAGTGTGCGTCCTCCATGGGCTGTGGTTCCTGTCAGGAGCCTGCTCCTGCAAGGTCTCTGCACAGGCTGCAAGAGAACCCCTGCTCTGGGCCTGAAGCACCTCCTCCCCCTCATTCCTCTCCTTCTCTGACCCTGGTGCTCGCAGGGCTGTTTCTCTCACTTTTTTCCCCCCTCATTCTGCCAGCGAGGGTTTTGCCCCTTTTTAAAACACCCTTTCTCAGAGGCACCACCATCGCGGCCGAGGGGCTCAGCGGTGCCCTTGCAGAGGGGGCCACTGCAGCCGGCTGGAACCAGCCGTGTCTGGCACAGGGCAGCCCTGGCCTCTCCTCACAGAGGCCCCTGCAGCTCTCACCGCCAGCACCCCACCACCGACATCCGATACAGGTGTAATCATGGCAATGAGAGGGGTTTGGGTTTTTTTTGTTTTGGTTTGAAGGTTTGGTTGTTGTTTGGTTTTTTTTGGGGGGGAGGGTTGTTGTGGGTTTGTTTGTTTTTTACACAGTCACTATACAAAAGAGGATTAAAATTATTTCAGGTGAGTCACCTTCTGATGTTTCTAAATGATCTGGTTTTGTTTACCAACCATGTACTTCCACTGAGATGCTCCTTTATTTGTGGGTCTTTCACAGTAAGCTTCAAAAATCCAGCTTGTCATACAGAAGGAAAAGTAAAAGGGACCACAAATAAACATATTTTTTTTTCCCTCTGATTTCTTTCAAGAATAACGACTCTAGATGGCACCGTAATTATAACAGAGACAACAGCAAGAAACAAGCGGGATTTCAAGTTCATTGTATCCCTTCGAGAACTGAATTTCCGAAATTATTTATCACTAAAAGTATTTTTCAAGTCTTAAAAATCACGAAATTTGAAGCAGGGAACAATAAATATACACTGTTTTGGATTTTAAAATGTAACGCGAGCTTACCCTGAAGAGGTAAGACATGAGTGCCTACCGCAGAGCAGTAGGTAACGCAGCAACAGACTTACCCGCCACTTCCCTTTCTGGGCCAACCTTTCTATCACCGCTTGCCAAGTCAGTGCATCAAACCTTGCACTGAAAACATAATCATATGCAGGTGGAAAAGTTGGTGGGAAGACTCGTTCATCTGCAAGAATAAGCAATTGAGAAAACTATTTAGTATACACGAGAACTATCTAGTATACACAGCACTTTTAAAGTTGGGCTCTCCAACTAAATTACTTAATTGCACAGTGACAATTTTAGCACTGATTAATACCAAGGAAAATGCCAAATGTGCATTTAAATATCCCTGGCCACCCAAGTGATAAGGCACCTTGTTATCACTGGCCAGTTTTCATTAAACAAGGGAAAAAAAAATTAATCCCTGCCCTCCAGAAACACCTCTAAGCCCCAAGACACTGTGAACCTTGAGGTGGTTTCTCCACCTGTGGGTGAACCCAGCTACTGACACTACTAAAGCTAATCATCATCCTTAACACGGGGCTACAAGCTCAATTAAATGCAGCAGGGACACAACCCGAAATCTCCTGGCATGCCTGCAGATCCCATCAGGCAAAGCCTGTGAACGGGACAAAAAAGCAAGTAGAAGAGGAAAGACTGAGGAGACAGCAAGGAGACATAGGGTGGACATTGCTCAAAAAACCCCACACCATACCACAGAAAAGTCAAATTCCCTCTTTTCACTGCTGCCCATTACTAGCTGAGGGAAAGTCCCCCCACGCTGGAATATACTGCACTGTAAACTCAAGTTTAAGCTGAGTGTCTTCTAATTATTTTCAAATCTACAGAGCTAAAAGAAAAGCTGAGTGGTCTGGACAAAAACCACTAAAGCCTGAGGGGTCTGGGCTCCCAATCTCCAACCTTGTCTCCCTGACTCTGAATTTCGACCTTCTCTAACTGTTCCACAGTTGATGTGCTCCTGTGAGACAACACACTCCCCTGCACAGTGTTTTGGGATTGTTGGCATCTGCTGTATGCAAACTGGACCAAGTTCACCAGATCCTTCTGATTATGCCACTCAACATATTCATGATCCTCAAACAGACCTGAGGCACCAAGGACCAAATGAACAATCTCATGAAGGACGTCCTACCAAGGACTTGTGTTGACATTGCTACTGAAAGGCTATTAGAAAAAATAAGCTCTTAATCTGAGTTTACCGTTGACACTCATGAAGATTCCTGCTACAAAATCAGCAACTTGAGTTCGATCTGCAGAAGCATTTAGGAGAATCAAACCTTTATGAAACATAGAAATTGCCTCATAAGAGTCTGATAACATGATTAAGGAGTGGCCAGCTCTGTAATAAGCCTGAGAAAAAAAGGAGAACAAAAAAAGACCATTGTAGAGAAAATATTCAGAGATCTTTACTACAAAGCAAAATGTTACCTTTTTTCCATAAATTCTCTAATTATGCTATAAAAATGAAATGTAGTGCTATTTTTACAGCTTCTTACACGCAAATCTAAAAAAAGTGCAGTAAACATCCCTTGAAATTCACAATATGCTACTGATGTCATCACAGATACTAAGACTGATAAATCCTGGAAAACAAAACTTGGAAAATAACTACAGGATGAAAGACATACTGTTAGCAACCTCCTCTGGAAAGGATGGGGTTTTTTTTGGCACAGGGTCCAGAATACATATTTATGTCCCCATGCCACTGCATTTTGCAATATTTACCACAATGCATGTATTCTTCAGCCAATGGCACCTGAACATGTTCATATTCACCACTGAACTAGGTTGTACTGGCTCAGAGTCAAAGTGGAATCAATTTGTTCAAACCAGATAACTGGCATGCTGCAATACAGTGCAAGTTAAATTGGTATCTGCATGCAGTTTTACCATATCTAAATCAAATACCTTCTACTAAAGTCTCTGGGATTCTGCAGTGGTTAGTCCAGAAGACTATTTATTGTACATAAAAGTCAATCCAAGTGTATGCCTCCATATCATAAATACTGTACAACCACTACTTATTCCTAACAGATGAGTCTTTGAGTCAATGTGTACTTAATCACAAGCGTATGTGTAGTGTATTGTTCTGTCCACTGGAAATACAATATGACCTTGATCACCACACACTGTTCCCAGGAACTGCAGGCTTATTAACGTTTAAAGAATATTAGGGCACAGTGCCCAAGGGAGCCTTCAAAGCTAAGTCCCCATCCCACACCTGACTGCTGTCCATGACTGATGAACCTGTACCATGAGCCAGGCTCTGCAAGACTACAAGTGAACACAGAGCTGGTGAACCTCACCACAGACAGGATCTGTGCAGTGTGCCATTGACTGACCAGAGACCTGGCCGGTGCTGCGTCATTCCCAGGTCTCCAGCATCACAAGGGCATGTAAGATTTTATTCCTTGCTATCGCCTTGTCTGGGATATTAATAAAATAGTTATCTTTCTTCAAAGCATTGGTGCCTCTCTTGTTGGGACCGAGAAAGAACCAGCATCTCCTGGTACAAAAGAGAGCTGCTTTGTTTTATTAAAAGTACTATTACAGTAGTAATTCTGATGCTCATGCACAGAGTCAGACACCAATTCTGGAATTTGATGCTATATTTGCTTATCACACCTCAAAATCAAAACACAATAAAAAGCAGATATTCACAATTGTTTTAAAAAATAAGGCATGCAAAAACTGCCAGCTTAAACATCTGAATACCTTAACATACTCCGGATCCCAGTGTAAGCTCTGGTAGGCTGAAAACACTGCTTCTCTCCATTTACCAAGACTGTACAAGGCAGTTGATTTGTTGCAGTGTAACACAGCTATGTCCCTGGAACACCTAAAAATATTTTTTTAGCATAACTGTTTATTTGCTTGAAGAAGAAGGCATTGTACTATACAGTTAGCAACAAGAAAAAAAAGAAAAAAGTCTATGTCCTGGTTTCAGCTGGGATAGAGGTAATTTTCTTCCTAGCAGCTGGTACAGTGCTGTGCTTTGGATTTAGTGTGAGAATAATGTTGATAACACACAGATGTTTTAGTTGTTGCTACGTAGTGCTTGTGCTAAGCTAAAGATTTACCTAACAAAATTAGAGGTAAAAATGGAGTTGTAGAAAATAAAGATCATTTGAACATCAGCTATAAAATCTCTTAGTGACATCCTAAATGATACCATAGTGATACCCTTAGTGATATCCTGGTCTGCTCTGAAGCAGAAAGCCAACCCACAGGAATAAAGCAGTATGAGGATTTAGAAAGAGATTAGACCATCTCGACACACCTAGATATGGCTCAGTGAAAACCAGTGGCCAAGAACAGGAGAAAAGAGACACATGAATGGAAGCTGCTAGATGGAAAGAATGCTAAACATATTTTGGTCACCAAAAAACAACCTAAACGCATTTTACTGTATCACCAGTCAATGAAGTCAACAGAATTATCTGCATTTACACCAGCTAAGAAATAATGTATTTTAGAGAACAGAATGTACTAAGGTATATAAAACATCTGCTGGATCCAAGAACTTCTGGAAAAAGCTGCACACAAATTACAGGACTACAGTCCACAGTGTACTGGGGAGCCTGGAAAGTCTGTCTTTCCTGTGCTCAAACAAACAGTACATGCCACAGAGTGGCATCCTTCATCTTATTCCTATCTACTAATTTACACTCAAGAAAGTTGTTCCAACTACATTGACTGTGTTCAGAGCACACTCTTGCATGCAAGCAAATCCTGACAAGGCAACCTATGGCAAGGGGAAATGAGACGCTCGGGAGCAGGTCCCTGTGGTATAACAAAATCCCACTGCTTGCAATGGGCAGGCGCTGGAGGTAGCCTGCTCGGCTCTGTCCTCGCTCGGTCCTCCTCCCTGCATGTGCTCCAGACTTACTTGACTACTTAGTCTAAATGGCTAATAGTCAAAATAAATGAATGGCTGGTGTTAAATTAGGTTAACAGCAGTGTTAAAACACGGTAGTAATGAATATTTAGTAGTTAACATAATACTCAACTATTTAATCACTAATAACATTAGCAAATGATGTTAACCGATAAAAACAAGCACTTAACATTTGGAAAGAAATACCCAAAGAACTCTTCTGCTGAAAAACTATTTTTTAACAAATCTGAGAATACCAAGAAAGAACAAAGAACAATAACAAAGTAACTTGCATGAATCATTTTAAAGATAATCAGAAGACCCATGTTACAACAGGCCATAGACATGACCAGTACATGGCAGAATTACAGCAAGATTAATCCACAGCATGTCAGCTAAGAAACAGAAGTATTTTAACAGAAAGCAACACAATTTATGGAAAATTAATTTCAGCTTTAATTACACTAGTTTATAATGGATGCATATATAAAAATATTCAGATTACAGTCACTAACTAATCTCCCACATATATGTCAGGAAGAGCAATTCCTCTTTATTTATAAAACTGGTACACTGAAGAGTGTGACAAAAGATAAAAGAAAATCAGGTGTCAGGGCAAGAAATACAGTTCTGAGCTAACTGTAGTACTGTACAAATTTCAAACTTGTCTTATGATTTACATCTGGTAATTCAAGAATACTTACGGGACCCACTGCATTAAACAACCGAGCATATGTAGAGCTTGATCGTACTTTCTGATGGCCAAAGAGTAATTTCCATTTTTAAAATCCTGGTTTCCAGCTTGTCGCATAAGCTGGGCATATTCCATGGCATCCATGCTAATTAAGAGAAAAAAAAAATTTAATCAAACAAAAGCACTGATTTATGAGACACTTCGTTCCCTAAAATCAACTTAAATTTTCACCTTAGTTTTTGCGTATTTGAAAAGGAGGACAACAGAACACATCTGTTTTGTTTGCTGCAGTTGGAACACTAAAATATAACACAGGTGACAGCCTCATCTTTGATGCCTCAACTTCCCATCTATTCTTTAATCAACCTCAGCTAACCAGATCTACCACTGCCATGCAATTTTTTCAGTTTTTCTCCTCATGTCTTAAACCATATTTTTTAGATTAAGATTTCAAACTATTTAAATGTGTGCACACACACTGGATGCGGGAGGAAATATCCAAGAGAACAAACAGAGTTCATATGCTTAAGAACTACATGAAGCTATATATCTCAACTAAACACAAAACTCATTTACTATCTTTTTATTTATCTTTATAACTTTTTTGTCCAGCCTCTCTGGCTAGACATTGAGTAATCCAATGTATACAAAACTGCATTGAAATTTGATTACTTCATGAAAATACCGTAAGTATATTAATAGCGCATGAGAACCTTGAATCAGATTTAAAACAGTTGTTAAAATGAATATAGCAAGCACCTGAAGAAAACAAAGGCTGAAACAGGCATCAACTGCAATTGATTGAAAAAATATGTCACCATTAAAATTATGAAATTACATAAAACTAATCACATGGTCAGGCAGCTAGGTGAAGGAAACAAATACAAGAGGAAAACGAGCTACGTCTGTTGAGAAACAGCACATCAAAATCACAGACCACGAGAAAAATCCAATGCTAAAGCCTTGTGTATAATCATCCTTCATAAATGGATTTATGATTAAAAGCCATTTCCATCATCTGCAATAACCTGTATGAATCTCACAAATCTCAGTACTACTAAATAAGATTAATTCACCAAAAAGGAATGCACAGATTTACTTATTATCCAGGCATTAGCAGGCCTGGAAAAAAACCAGTAACAATGCGTAACGTCACAACCTGCTAACATAACGTTGTGGTTTAACCTGGCAGGCAGCTAAGCACCACACAGCCGTTCGCTCACTCCCCCCTCCTAGTGGGATAGCAGGGAGAGAATCGAAAAAAACCAAAACGTAAAATTCGTGGGTTGAGATAAAGACAGTTTCATAGGACAGAAAAGAAAGGGAAAATAGCAATAATAATAATAATAATGCTAAAAGAATTAGAACATACAAAACAAGTGATGCACAACCCAATTGCTCACCACCCGCTGACCAGTGCCCAGCCAGTTCCCGAGCAGCAGCCCCCAGCCAGCTTTCCCCCAATTTTATCTACTGGGCATGACATCATACGGTATGGAATATCCCATTGACCACTTTGGGTCACCGGTCCTGCCTGTGTCCCCTCCCAGCTTCCTCTGCACCCTCAGCCTCTGCTGGCCGGGCAGTGCAAGAAGCTGAAAAGTCCTTGACTTAGTCTAAACATTACTTAGCAACAACTGAAAACATCAGTGTGTTATCAACATTCTTCTCATCCTAAATCCAAAGCACAGCACTGTACCAGCTGCTAGGAAGAAAATTAACTCTACCCCAGCCAAAACCAGGACACACAAGCTGCAAGATCTCTTCCCAACAAAGCAAACTAGGTATATGAACCTACGGACAAACCAAGAAATACTACTGACCTATTTTCTCTATAGTACTCCTCATGACAAACCTGAAACGTCAAGAATCAGCACTGTATTGTGAACGCAGAGATACGAAGAGACTCACTATGGATGGCACTGTGCCTCCCTCATTTATCCAAGTGCAAGAGGCCATCCTGTACTAAGCAGACAGGAGAGCAGCAGCCCACAACTCTGAAGAGGCAACTGCAGAAGAACCAGGTGCAACCACAAAGCTCAGATCCAGACTGCTTCAGGCTGGCTGGGAAAAGGCCTGTTGGATGTTATGTTTTAATTAAATAAATAAACACTCTGTGATGATGTCTGCAATCCAAACAACACCTGCTAATTCTAGGGAAGCACCAAGAACAGATGAAATTCCTGGCTATAAACTAAACTGAAGAAAAATAGGTCCCATCTACATGGGGGAGGTACAAGGACCAGTCACACGAGAGGAGTAATTATGAATTTACCCTAGGCAAATTAAATCATCACTTCATTGAGCAATGTGCATACAGCATGTATTTTAAAAATACTGCTTATGCAGACAGCAAATTAAGTGTACTCATAGCGTAAGTGGGACTTCTTTTTACACCGCACAGTATGAGCACTACTGAGGCGAAGAAAAGGAAAAAAATAGAGCAACAGTGCAAAGAATAAAAAGCAAGTGCTAAAAGATGGTTCTACCTCATATTTTTGTAATTCTTTCAGCTTTCAACTTTTTAGCATCAGAAGGTTAGATAAATTATTTGCACCAAGAATAATACCAAAGCAGTTCAACTACACAGGAGCTTCTTCATGTAGGAATACACATTAAACTGTGGTTTTCTAAATCATAGTTGAATTTCAAGCTTTTTCTTATTTTTAAGAAGGCTATGCTTCTACTTAGGGTGAAATTTTTACCCAGAGTTATATTTACCTTACTTTTCCCTGGAATTTACTTAAAGTACAATTACAAATAAAAGGTATTTGTGTACTGTGTACACAATGTGTACTGTGCTGGGAAATTTTGGAACTGAGATCCCTGTTTCAGATCAGGAGGCAGCATCCCCTCCCTGCTCCAGGTGGCAGGATTTCCAGCAGAACATAGATTCCCATCCTTTTCCAGCACTGGACTTTCCCAGCCAAAACCCCAAAGTGTCGGTCATTTAAATAACTGGGATGTGCGCTGCAGGCTTTAGCAACTACACCCAACTTTACAGACCCAAGAGATATACAGACATGCAATTCTGACATCTAAGTTAATGATCCAAAGAATCGCTGTGCTGACTAGTACAGCATGTCTTGCTATTGCCTAACATCTCCCTGAAGTATAAACAATTTTAACTCAAAACTAGTGGACTAACTGAAGACCTATTGTATAAAGTCTATTGCGCATGGCGAGCATTAAACAAAAATGTTGTCTATTACTGTGGCTTAACCAGCACAGGTAAAGGTCACAACTGCATCTGAATACAACTGCAGAAAGATGTTGTCCTAGCGAGTGCTGTGGGTTAACCCTGGAGAGCAGCTAAGCACTCGCTTCCCCCCCGTCCCCAGTGGGACGGGGAAAGAGGAAAGGAAGAGTAAAACCAAGAAAACTTGTGGGTCAAGACAAAAATTGTTTAATAAGCAAAAGAGCAGTGGAAGAAGAGAGAAAGAAAACAAAACAAGTGATGCAAAGGCATCATTCACCACCTCCCACACACAGACTGATGACCAGCCAGTTCACGAGCTGGGGATAGCTGATCTCCCTAAGCCCCCTCCTCTCCCTTTTTATTGCTGAGCATGATGTTACATGACATGGACTATCCCTTCAGTCAGTTTGGGCCATCCACCTGGTTGTGTCCCTTCCCAGCCCCTTGTGCACCCGCAATCTAGTCACTGGGGGGGCAGAGCAAGAAACAGAGAAGGCCCCAACGTTGTGCAAAACCTGCTCAGCAACAGCTATCAGTGCTGTTTTGGTCACAACTCTAAAACACAGCACCATATGAGCTACTATGAGGAAAATTAACTCCATCGCAGCCACAAACAGTAGAGTAGGACAGGTTCCCCTCATTAAGTGGGGACTTCTCCTAAGCTATGGAGTCCATGAAACACATAAATGTGCAGGTGTTACCGTAAGTCGGCACTTCAGAAACCCTCCAAGATTCAATTTTGGAGTTTTAGAAAGCAGGCATTCTTTATTGCAGCACTGGGTACACGGGGCATTGCTCCACCTATTGTGCACACCCGCCAGGTCTAGTCATATAGTTTATATACAAGTTCTATATGCATATTCATTAGATTTCCAAGACTTGTTATACATATTAATTTTCTGGGAAATTATTAGCATATGTAAATGTCCTTCAGGCTCTATGGTGGTCTTCAGGAGTCCTCTGGTGGTCTTCCACAGTCTTCCTCACTTGTCCGCTACCTGACCCCTCTCGACCGATTCTGCGCAGTATGGTCCTTCATACATTTTGGAACCAATTATCCTAAGGAGTGCTTGTTAGTACAATCTTATCATAAGGAAAGTTATGCTTTCCTTTGCTAGTGCTTCTCATGTTTACATTAGTGATGCTACCCATATGGTACTTCAAGCTAAATTATCTACAAGGACAGAAGCAAGGATAAAAGTTCTTATCTTTTCCAGCCTTACCTATCAAGCAAAGTCCTAGTTGTGGTTTTTCAGTAAAGATCATAAATTCACCAAGCTCCCAGTTTAGTTTTAATTACTTATGCTTCTGTTCAGCTTTTCTTTTTCTAACCTTCAACCTCTACTGTATCACAGGGACACCTTGAGGTCTGGGACACCCTTCCAAGTGCATTGCTGGGACCTTGTCCTTCAAAGAAAAAAAACAACCAAACAAAAAAACCCAGACAAGATGGTCTACTCTGTTCACTTTTTTAATGGTTCCTGAGGCCACCAGCATGACGGTGACAGCAAGATGAAGCAGATTAATTTCTACTCAAAGAATTAAAACAAAAGATTATACAGTTAAGTCAGAAACAATCGGCTCCAACCACTACCGCTGCCAGTGGGCAAAACGCCCATTTACTTCACATGTTGCCAACTCTTACATTATTGTGATAGTCGGTGCCCCACTGAACAGCTTCAGTCAGACTGTCCTCAGAAGCAGGGCAGTTTGGGGAGTTTACAAGGCCAAGTCTTGACTCCTCTTGCTTCAGCAGATAAGCTTGAAAACACAAACAGAGACTACCCAGAAAACCCATTTGTCATTCTTGAAAAATGTTGTTTTCCTTATGCCAGCTATCAGTCTCAAGAGGCCAGCTTGTGCTTTCTGAACATCTGAGGTTGGCAACACTAAAAACTTTATAAATCTGAGAGTGAACCCAAGCAGTTGCTTTGTTCTGTCTGCAT